AGAGATGAGGTGGAGAAGTGGATAATTCATAACTACGAAGAAACAAGCTAGTGTCCAGTATCCCATGTCGTTAATAAACTAGTTTATCTATTTTATGCAACCCGCATTGGTTTCAAATTGTATGCAAAGATAAGACATCAAGTTTTTGTAGGTAGATACGAGAACTGCATCTGATGGAAGCACGCATATGCAGATAGTGCATAGTTAGAAGTACCCAAACCCAAGTACAGTACGAGCACCCAACGAGATTGATATAAAGGGAAAGTTGAGACGTGAGACATCTCACTTACGGACCATAGTGTTGGATTGATTTGTGAGGACACGTTCGAAACTGGATTTTGGACCTGTTACCATTTTTGACCTGAACGGATTTCTATAAATGTATTTTAGCAGGATAAGATATCACAATTCCAAACTCCAGTCGGATTACGACACGAATCAGGCAGGAGGCATGCGACGAGGAACAAATGTGAGCATGTATGTGTAATGCTGGCCTGCACATCAAAGTCGGTTAGAGTGTGTAAATAAAAGAAAATATGTTGTTGTATGTACCACGTGTTAAGACAAGTCAGTCATTTTTTTGCCATTTGGTTTATCCTCAGATTTAACTGACTCGGATCTCTGCACTTGACATGACTCCTTCTTTATACGCACACACGCCATGCGCCATCCACATTCCACTCGTTGTATTTAAATATACACGCGATAAGAAATTGCTCATACATATTTTTGTTATTAAGCAAGATCTGAGTTGATGATGATAAGTTGGTGGGGATTATCTAAGAGAAATTACTCTTCGTGTCTCTCCGGCGCCCAAACAGGGTCACCTTATTGCTCACCTCGTCCAGTCCAGACGACTTTCTCCAAAACGCCAAAAAATCTCTGGTAGCGTCAGGCATAAGTCACTCGAATTCCGTTTCGACGTAGGAAAATTGGCTCCTATGATAAGTTTACGTTAATTTTGCTCGGTGTCATGCCAGGCCTCGTGGTGTGCGTGGTGGTATGAAATCATCAGAGATGGGCAAGATACTTTGTCAAGATGCAAGATACCATCTTGTATCTTCATCACTGATCGGATAAGTACCTTGTACTTTGTATCTCTTAGGCAGACAAATATTACCTGGTGCACATACATGATTCCTGACACAAAAATATCTTAAGATACGTATCTTTTATCACTTATCTTGCCTGCTTATTTTTTTAGGAAAGTATCTTGTATCTTAAGCACTTGAACAAGAAGTAGAAGTTTTATCTCACCGAGAAAGTATCTTAATTTTGTATCTGGCATCTTACGACCAAAGTATCTTGCCCACATCCCCGCATCATCATCATCTGGAAATAAGCCCTGCATTTTTTAGCCAAAAATGTACAGAATAAAACAGATGATGCATACCGTTGTGTTTTGTGTAGGTAGATTTTCCTTCGTTTTTGAAGAGTTTGCATATCTGTAATTTATTGACGAGAAGGGCGAATCATCCGAAATGAGAGTTTCTGGGAAACAGTTTACATAATTATTATGATTTTTTTCTAGTAGGTGGGGGTTTGCTTATTTGTTTTCTTCCAACGCTCGCTCTCCTTCATAAACAACGAATTGAAGGAAATTTCTCGCAATCTGTTTATACGAAATGAATGGATGAAAAGTGAACATATTTTGACAAGGAGTGCGACGACGAGTGGCGATGATGATACACAATTAATTCATAATGATCTCGACTCTCTTAAATAATTATTCCACTTATGTATATTGCGCAGCGTCGAGTTTTATAAGGTTTCGTTTTGGACAACATTATTATCCATCTCATAAAGCTCTCACCGGGAATTAATCATAGTTTGCTTGCCTTATACATAATTTGAAGTAAATAATATTTTGTTATTTACTGTACATATTTCCCAGAAACTTGACCCCCAATGTTTCGACCACCTTTCGTATCTTGTGTGCCATGTTATCCTTGTCATTGGAATATGTACGTACAAAAAGAAGGCGAAAATCGCCCAAACTCTGTGTCGACCGAATCTTGCTTCCATTCGTTCTTTTTGCTTCCTCCGCTTCATAAATGTTTTAGGTTGGCGAGGGCAACGCATGTTTTCCGCACGCACCTGTGACAGTGCGAAAATAAATGTGGTCGTTTAGCTCATTACTGGCGCATTGAGGGGAAAGAGGAGGCATAACAGGGAGGCAGTGGACGTATAGGAAGATGGGAGATGTAGGCAAGTAAAAGTCTATTTTTGTAGTTGATTGCTTATGATTAGCGGATGCGTAAATCTCGTAGATAAGTGCGTGCAATAACTGACCCAGTTCTCATTCCAAGATATCATCATCCTCCTCCTGATCCAGCAGAAGGAAGTTGTCGTGTGCTTCCAAGTATGTACATGCTCGTGTACGTACATGTGTAGCAATATTGTGCATACTTTTCGCTGATCTGGTGGCTTCGACCCATCTGTCTTTGTAAATATTCAAAAATGATGCGATAGGGGTGGTGGTGGTGATGATGATAAATAAGCACCTTGGGTGTGAAGGTGTCTGAGCTAAAAATTACTGGCGACTACTGGGTTCAACGCAGTAGCCCAATAACTCAATGGCAAGTCAACGCCTTGCCCGACATCTCCTTATCCATCCACCACAACCGAGGAGCAATTACAAGCGGATTTTATGATGATGATGAGCATATTATGATGAGAAATTGAGGTGGAGTAATACTTTTAACTGGTGTTGTAACGCAAGTTTAATGTCGGAGTTACTTAACTCTTCTTCTTCTTCTGGTGTGCCTGTTGCTGGCTGAAATAAGTAACGAGCAAACTTTTACAACACCGGCTTGTCAGTACAAAGACAAACAGAATGTGAAGCGTAGGTTTGGAATTTTGAGAGCCAAATAAATTTTCTCGGGAGCCGTGAATATAATGGGAGCATTTATTCATGGGATCATCTCATCACGGATATTTTGAGCGGATCAAGAATAATGTATGTCTCTCATGGTGCTTGTTACTTGTACCACGACAAAGGCACACACAAGCGGCGTTTACGACGAGAATGGTCCATTTTGTGACATTAATACGGCCAAAATTGACTGACTGGCTGACTGATTTGACGACATGTAGTGTCACCAGAACAAAGACGGGTGACACCCTCCCTCTCCTCCCTCTCGAGGTTATCTGCTGCTAATGTGAGCGAGTGTGTAACGTGTGTGTGTGGGGGCTGTCCTCGGAAGGAGAAGAAAAAGTAGCAGAAAAAGAGAATGATAATATGACAGATGTATGTATGTATGTACAAGCGATATGTATGTGCCACCCACTCTCCCGTACATGTGACTCCTCCTAAACTTAGCCCTCAACGGTTTTAAATAGCCAGCGTCAACATTTCTCGAGCCCTAAATCTACGCAAACAAAGGTCAGAAGATGGTTTGAACTATTTATATTGCGTACTAGTGTTTTAAATTAGATTGCATTATTGGGGGCATTACCGCTCCAAAAACAGGCTGTGAACTTTTCCATCATCCATAAATACACACATGCATGCGAGGAACGAGGGGATGGTGCACTTTCACCGACTTTCTCCCACCAGACAACCCTCCTGGTGTCAGGAGAGTGTTAATCCTTGTGCTAAAGGTTGTTCTCCTACCATGCATAATGGCCGTCCTTCCAACGGATTGCTTCATTTTTAAATAATCAATGCCATATACGTCTAAATTGGGCTGAGGAGAAGGCGAAAGTATGTAAAGTGGTGGGAAGGGTGGCGCCTTGTTATCGGCACCACCAAACGCCACCATCTCACCATTAATTTAATTCTCAGGATACAAACAGTAGTACGTTCAGCCGTGTGGCGGACAACAAGACGGGGGCTCTCTGTCGACGCTATACGAATATTATGCATATAGCTCAAAGCCATGCTGTTGAATTCCTCCAAGAAGACACTTCCTTCCACATTGCCCTCCAATCCGATACTCATGATATGATATTTAGGATATGGTTTGGAAAGTTGGCCCATCCATGTAAACTACAGAGCTAGAGTTGTTTCCCTGCTGTCGGAATTCTCGACATATTTATTTACTGCCCGTGCTGGGTTAAATGAATGTGAAATTCCTCGCCTGTTGCGTAATTCTTTGTGGGAAATGGAAAAATCTCAATGAATCTGACAGAAACAGGGAGAGAGAGAGGTGTGGAGTTGTGAGGCTGTTAAATAAAACGGATTAATCCCCTCCAACATTTCATGCTCAATCAACCATGTAACACATTATTTGTCATTCCTCCAACAAGAAGCGCCTTCCAACTCTCCAACCCCCACACACACATGTAACACACACGTACGACTATTGCTTACATTTATTATTATATCTGTTATTCGAACATCATCATGTGCTTGCTCTTGGAAGAACATCGCAACCACTCACTGGCAACTAGTTTATGGACCTGGCAGGTAATTATTGCCACCAGAAGCAGTAGCAGTGTCACAAGACGAAACGGTATTCTATACGTACGACGATACTCAAAACTGGCAACGACACTCCTCTTCTCACTTCCGTCCATTAATGAATGAGCAATGGGTTGCATAAGTTTCTTGCTGACGAGAAAATTGACATGTCACCCTCATTTGGTCATTGATGACATTCTATGCACCAATCTTACATCTTGCAGAATGTGTATTTTAAAAGTAAGACGAGCCAGTATTGAAATTGGTGTGGAAGTGGCCTCTTTGATTTTTCACTTCCCATCCGGCTCGTTACGCTTACGCTATGCATGATTATGGCTGGTGGAAGAAATGTCAAAAAAACTGAGCTATTTACAACCAACTTTCTGATGACTAATGGTGACTCGTTAATAATAATATGTAAACCCGGATTTGGTAAGGTACACTGGATTTGTAACTTGATGGATGGACAGGTTGGCGATATTGCGTAACTGATGACGTACAATATTGCTTCTTTTTATAACAAAAGCACTAATCAAGGTACTTTTGGGATAGCAAAATGGGTAAAAATTATACTGAAATACTACGCAAGAAGGTATCGCTAGTTTAATAACAATTTATTAATTGAAATTGATAAGAATCGAATGCGGAGGAAAGTAACAAATTGCAATGTGGAAACGCTACTATAAATGGAACCGTCTACGACTGGATTCCATCTTGTGACGCTTGTTGGTGATGATCCATTCGTATTCTCCTGTTTTCGAATCAAACGTCCCTTTCTGAATACTTTTCAGTTTGAGGGTGAATCTTGGCCCGAGTTCGCGTAAAGCTGCCTTCTCTCCATTTTTCTTAAACTCATAACTAGAAAAGTATCATTGAATAAAATTAATCAAGACGATAATTACGAATTATGATGATAATAATGATTAAATTACCGGTGATGCCGGAAAAAGATGTAATCTCGTTGATTGTGGAAAGTTACGACACGTCGTCCAGTAAATTGAGGTACTTGATGGAACAAGGAGCAAAACATTCGACCAATCATGACTCCTGCTCTGGTTTTAAAATTTGTAGTAATAACCTCTGGGCGGTGGCTCGTAATTTCTTTCCAGTCCCTCTGTCAAAGTAAATAGATCATTATTGAGGCTACTCATTATTTGAAAACCTAAAAAAACTATAGTATAATTTAGAAACCAGATTTACCTTAATGTGCTTTGTAAGCTTGACGTTACTGAGTTTAAAGAAGAAAGTTGGACCTTCTGGGAGGTGGCAGAGAAGTAGACTACCTAAAAAAAACCGCAAACAAGAAGAATATGAATAGGTTATTATATATAATTTATACGATATAATTTTTTTAAATTGAATCATTAGATCATTAGACTTACCAGGCTCTTTTTGATGCTCGTTGATAACAATAATGTCCGTATATCCCTTTTCTTTGCATTGTTTAACCATTTTCTTAATTGTCGAGTTTCTGCGGAGAAAAACTTCCGAGTTTGGAATAACTCTTTCCAATTCCTTCATAAAAAGTCGCGTTTTCTAAAAAGATAGGACTATTATTACATTTACGCAAAACAGAATTTAATTGATTATACATTAACAATGTATTTTACCAGGTTCGGATTCTGTGAAGAGGTGATGACAATTTTTGGAAAATACGACTGGTCAAAGTACGGAGCAAATTCGTCATGAAAAATGTCAACCATCTCATACATTTCCCCCGAAATTTCAGTTGGATCTGGTTCTCGAAGTGACTCGAGTGTATTTGGAACCTGTTTTGGTGGAGCATCTTCGCCTGAAATGCATAAAAAATGAAATTATACATTGACGGTATCCGCATTGGAGATTGCCTTGTCGTTTATAAAAATATGTGCTATCCAGTAACTGATGTTTCAACTTTAGAAAGTACTTAAAAATAACATTGAAATTAAAATCGGGCAAGTATATCTCATTAACTAATAATATCTTTACATCCATAATGTGTATTATCTCAATTCATCATATTAACCTAAGCACACAATAAAAAATGAATAAAAAACTGTCTTACCCAAAGCTTCAGCCTCCTCCCTCTTCCTCTTCTGCTCTGCCTTTTTCGCCTAGAGAAATGAACAGAACAGAACAATGAACAATAATAATTAAGCAAAAACTAGTCTTCTCCTCCGTTTGTCTTAATGAAATTGTTGCTGCAATACTACCTTTTGCTTCATTTTCTTAGCCCTTGCAATATCCATCCGTTTCTTGAACCGATTCGGCTCCTTGTTGGCTTTCGCCATGAGGCCGAGATAGTCTTCTTTCGTGGGGGCGGCAGATACAGGAGCCGAGAGGACGCGCTTCCCCTTTATAATCGTCGCCACCTTTGGTTTCTCTTCTTCTTCCTCTTCCTCCTCCTCCCCCTCGTCGCCCACCTCCTCGTACTCCAACTCAGAATCAGAGTCACTCATGTCGTCGAATTATAATACCAAACCAATATTATTATGTGTCGCAAATGATGAAGATGAGATGTGCTGCTGCTGGGCACGTTGTGGTAAAAGTTGAGACTGCCGGGTTGTGCTACTCGATGACTACCGACTGGGCCACTCTCTCTCTCTCGCATGTGCCCCAAATGGTTTCTCTTAATAAGCAATTCTTGCATGAAATGCCAAACCAAGTAATCGGAATTCGCAAATTGTGAATGGAAAATGGGTGTGCCAACGCTAATTGATTTCGGATATAGTTTTGAGTTGGCAGTATAATTAGTTTGAGTTGACCCCTACCAAGTTTTAGCATTTTGTTCAAACTTTATGTTTAATTAGTGAATTCAACTCTGGTCGTTTTTTCAAAGACAAATGATAGTTTTTATTATTATGTTATATGATCAATTTATGAAAATCATGAGAATTGAGACGATTTTATTATGGTCTGTCTGTATTTAGACCGTGACTTTGTCCACCAAAACCGCAGCTACCCACTAAAGTAAAGGACCGACATTTAAATGATGGTGCTTACTCATGCTGCTACATAGGGCCATAGATCGGAGTACTCCGGGCTTGGAGTACGTACTCCGGCCTCCGGAGGCCGGAGTACGCAGCTTTTTCTGGAGGCCGGAGTACTCGGAGGCCGGAGTACACGTGGCCAGCCGGAGGCCGGAGTACACGTGGCCAGCCGGAGGCCGGAGTACGCGGAGGCCGGAGTACGCATGGCCGGCCGGAGGCCGGAGTACGAAAAATATCCGATCTATGCATAGGGCCTTTGATGTACATACTTTTTTGTAGGGTTAGGTACCTACATCTGCCTTTTCAGACGATGCAGCATGCAGGGACGCTTTACAAAGGTTTATAGCATGGTACTCGGCAGGTAGGTAGGGGCGGCCGCCGCTTATAGTGCACCATTGTTGATGGGTAGCCCAGGTATGCATCCTGCTGCATCTTTTAGACTTCATTGTTGGCCGTAGTGAAAGTGAGGTTAGGTGCAGAGGTACAAAAAATGGATGGGATGATGTTGGTTGTTATATAGCTTAATAATATATGTATAAAGAAGATGAAGAGATGGACCGCTGCCACTGACGAAGACTACTTTTCTCACAAAGATCAGACTGTCTTGCGCCAAAGTTGTGGGACAGGACTTTGAAAACTTTAAAATTAAAGTTATGTACCAAAATTGTACCTGAGTAAGTTACCCGTTCCAATTTACATAGGTGTGTGGCGATCAGTATTAAGTAATCGTTGTGGATGCCAATTAACCACGTACGACATACCAAACCCGGTCTCATTATTTACGATAAGCGAATACTATTATTAGTTCCATTACAAGTGCGTACAGTTTAGCAGATAATTTGTGATAAGAGAGCATACACCAATTCATAACTTTTCACAGTGGCTTAAATCGACACTTGTTGTTATTTGAAGCAGAATGGGAGTAGTTGCAAAGAATTAAATTTATTGCCCACAAAAATTGTTTTATTATTGGTGTCAACCCCCATTAATTGTCAAGTTTCTATTGTTTGCGGCTATGCAAGGAATGTGAGTAGTTTTCTGAGTGAGACCTTGGAGAAAATATTCAAGCTGGATTATTGGGATATTTCTTTCTACTTGCTGCACTTCGTTTGGCTAAGTCGTGGTGTGCAATTGGACTCGAAGTTACTACACAAGGTAATTTGACACTTTTCATCAACTCTGCAATTTTATTAAATGTTTTACTGTCACTGAAAGGTGACACTGGGCTACTAGTGACGCTACTTGGTCGCCGGTGGTGCATAATAAAATGGTAAATATAAAAATGTGTAGATGGATAAGACGTATAGAGGCTGACTGAATATACATACGTAGAATAATTTTGCACAATTTTGCAAACAAACCCCACTCCCATATAAGTACGGGACTGGCAAAACTATGTGGATGAAGAGTGTCACATGCAAGTTTGAAATATGAGATAAAACTGACATTACATCATCATCATTCACCAGTCAGAGAGGAGGAATCTCTTCTGGGTCGTTGTTAAAATGTGGAACTCTTTATCGCAACATTCCTTCTGAGGTGGTGTTGACTAATGCGAGCGAGCGTACGTACGTTCGTATTTGTGTGTGTCAAGTAAATACAGAATTGCACATATTTAACGAGAACTTTTGAACATTTGATTTTTCTGGTGCGTGCGTGGTACGTATTTGTGAAGCATATTGTTGTGATTACAGTTTAATCAGCACGTTTGACTGTTTCTCACGAGGAAAGAGAGACAGTGCTGACCACGCACAAAGCAAATATTGGTTAAGAGAGCACACGACGATCCCTAAATAAATGCGATTTAATGATTTCCTGTGTCAATTTATCATCATCATCGCCTCCAATCGGCGTGCACCTATGTATCGACATAATAATATTGACGTCTTCTCTTGACTCGTGTCTCGAGTTTGCAGTTATACACATAGATACACACATATTTACATGTGTAGTCATCTCATCTGGTCGTGCAGGCACCACTCCTATAACTTTATGGTTTTGACCAAAATGGCACGCACTGCTCCTTGATGTGATAAAGAATCAGACAAGAATAGAAATTAGAAAGCAAATTTAGCTCATAAATCTCAATTTAATAACAACCAGGTTGTCTTCCTTTTTGGGATTTGCATATTATGGCCAGAAGGCATCACACAGTTTCAACATCTCCCCAGTAATCATCTCATTCCCAGAGTTCGTGCCGATGAATGATGCACTTGGGAATTGAGATTCAGGAAACAATGAGGATTTAAGAGTTTGAGTGTGTTTACCTGTGTGCGATCTCAGAATGTTTTGCTGAATGCTGATTTGCATTTTGGAGCATCATTTGTTTCACATGTTCAGATTTTAATCTCATCATTAAATATTTTCCAATGTGTGCTCTCCTTTTCATTTGATGTGTTGTGGCGAATATTTATCGGCCTTGACTTAGGCAGAGGCACGACTGAGGAGACACAAATGAAAAAAAAACAAAGCTATGAGCCGTGGGTGATTGGCATGATTAGTAATTAAAACCACAAGTCTAACGCAACGTGTAATCATTTTAATGCGTGACGGGGAAAAACAATATGTTTATGTTTAAGCATTACGTTGAGAGAATTTAGAAATTAGCATATAAATCTCCAAAGAATCTCTGCACATACAATCTGTCCCATTTTGAGCTTATTTATCGCGAGAGACGAATTCGTATGATTCATGATTGACTGTCCATAGGCCTCCTCCAATATTTGGGAAATTATAAAAATTCACCAAAGCATAGCAGTTTTAAAGATATTTTTATAAACAGTTTGTCGAAAGTTTAATATGTTTGGTTGCAAACACTTGTTGCTTTAATTTCGCTAGCTCCTTTCGCTGAGATGCGAACATGGCAAAATTGTTATTATATAACACAATCCCTACACGATCGTTCGTGGGAGGATTGAGAATGAATGTGCTGCTGCAGTTGGCTTTTTTTATGGTGATGTGTGGTATGTATGGGTAGTTAGTTCGTTAATAAGTTACCTATTCTGTCCAGTCTTCTCTCTCTCTCGCCAAATTTGTCGATCCAATCCTCCAACCACCCTCATGCAGATCCCAACAAGTCTCTGACACGATGTCCTACGAGATCTGCATCTCAGTCAGTGTTCACTTCGCCGAGGCGACGGAATGTGCATGGCATGGCAGTCAGTACTTACAAGCCTGACTTGGTGTGCAAGTGAGTGATTTGAAAGATCTTACGAGGCTGACATTGTGCGTCTCGTGGGTCGTGACCCAGTGGGATTAAGTTGTCGTGCCCCCCAGAGAGGAACACTCCCTTTGTTGTTGTAAGGGGAACAGTTCTTCGTGGGCACAATAGGTCATTCGGATAGTGCAGGTTTATAAAATGTGTTTATAAACCTGTCACAATAACAACTAATTGAATTTGTATCTACTAAATAAACACTACGAGGAACGAGACGGTGTGAATTCTCGAAAGAAAATGGGTACGTCATGTTTTAATTTAACTCTTATTATTAAACACTGCCATCCCACAGATAAGAAAAAAAGCTAATTAGCATGTTAAGCACTTTGTTCACTTATTGCATCCACCCAACCAACCCCGTGTAAACATGCATCCTACATTCTTTTGTCTCACGTTAATATCCTTCTTCACAGCAATATTTGCATATGTAGTTATTCAGCACGAGACTAACAAGTGTGGCGAATTTTGAGAAATTCAATATTTCGCGACATCTGCGCCCTAAACTCTTCTTTGATTAAATCTAGCGATAATCAACGTCCTTTTTATATTAATTATTGATCAAACATGAAGGCGAAACATGTGAGCAAGAACAGATGCATGTGGATGGATGGACATTGCAAATGAGTTTGTGGATAAAAACATTGGGCCAAGTTTGTGTAGGTGGATTCAATTTAACTGCTGCATGGAAGGCTTTTGTTTACCCTTTAGCCTAGCAAAGCAACCTTCGTCTCATCATCAGCCTTCCATATTCTGGACGAGTATTAGCAACTAGTAGGAGAAATATGGGATGAATCTCTCTGATTTCGCAGTCACGCTTTATTTATTGGCAAGCACATCATATCATAAGCACACAATTCACACAGTGCCTTGTACAAACAGGAATTATCTCCATGTAATAAGAGAGCGAGAGAGGAAATCTCTTAAATGGTTATGGCTCTTTAACTCCACTCGTAATAATAATTCTTCTTCGCCTCCGTGCTGTTCGGGACATGGAGAGTTTTATATGTACATAGAGCTCGTATTGCATAAAATGCTTGAAGGGGGATCGATACGTATTTGCTCTTTACCTTCGTCAAACAAAGGAACACAAACTCTTCCAACGACATCGACATGACCTCCCGACACGGCAGATTGAGCAGGGAGGACGCTCTCAAAAGGGCAGATCTGTTTTAATGCGGCAGTCTAATCTAACCCCATGCGTCACATTAGATTTGCTCAGATTTTTCGTTGTTTTGCCATAATCGGAAGATGACGACGATGCTGCAGCAATGTTGCTCTTTTGGTTGTCACATATTGAGAGTTCTGGAGTAGGAGAAGTATGTTATTGAAGTAAATAATGAAAGCGTCTTGGAGTGGTGGAGTTGAAATTGAATAATAAATCAGCCCAGGAGGAATAAGTGGAAAAGAGTAGGAAAATATGTGCATGAAATGTGTGTTGGTCTGGAGTTAAGTAGTTGGGCTGGAGATTTGGTAGTGGTGATGAGATCACCAAATGAAATGAGATGCTAATGTATCTCCCAATATTTATTTATGCGAAGGAGCAAATTCATTTCTCAACCAACTCGACTTGTACTAATTCTAGAGAAAAATTAAGTTTTGAGACACTCGCAATTACTCCGCTTCGTTACATGGATAGACAAGGCTGCGTTGAAACAACAAATTTTGTTTAACTTTTCATCACTTTGTTCCATTAGCGGAAAACTGGTTATCTTTCAACGGGGCTTATCTTTAATTAGATGGATGGATGAATAATAAGTTTGCTTCGTGTCACCCCCTTTCCAATAATTTGACTCGATACTGATACTACTGTGATACTTAATGGATATTGTCGCACACTAAAAGTTTGTAAGGTCGTCGATTAGTCAAAGCGAAGTGTTTTTTATTAATATTTTGCATTAATGGTCAACCAAGTTTGTCTGCAACAACGGATTCTACTGCCCACAACATAACAGTGGACCACCACCACATCGATGATCGAGGTTTGACTTGGCTAACAAAATGTGCTGCAAAAAGTGAGCGATGATGCCGGTGGAGTGATATTGAAGTGAATGATTGTAAAAGTGGGCATAATGTGCCGGAAGAATGCATAATTTTTCCAAGATATTTTGACCCTAACTCACCATATCGATCGATCGACCATTGAACTTGATTTGAATTATGAAATCCAGACCACCACCAGTTCGACAAGTTCCAACGATGGTGGTGGTAGCAGCTAGTTTAATAATATAATAACATAATCTGTAACAATAATTCGGGACGAATAAGCTTCCTGCTTCTCTTCGTGACGGCGGGTGTGCACTCCATTTTTTGTGAAATGGAACTCTTGATGAATTGTAATTGCACTCGTCTAAATATGGGAATGGCTTCCCTTTGGCAGCTTAATCCGCAAAGAGGGTGGTCGAGTGAGTGCCAGATTGCTCAATTTGCTTGTAGAATTCTTAGTTGTGCAGAAATTAAAGAATTTTGACTCCTCGGTAGATACCACACTTTTCTTCAACTTGTGATAAATTAGGTATGCACAATTATGAAAAAATGAGATTGGATAATTGTTACACAGAGTTGAGTTGTTGTATCCCGCAGTGCAGTCGTTATAAATTTACATACAGAGTGAAATGGATAAGCCTACTTAATTGAGTGACAATTGAGTGAGACGGTCACCGAACTATAAAAATGTAGTAATAAATAATCCTCTCAATTCCAGCAAGTCAGTTCTATTCATAATTAGCTGCACATTGCAAAATAGCAATTTTCGGTAGGTCTCTCGTCATAAACGAAGTATGGTCACTTGTGTTGTGTATTTTACTGTCTCTCACGCCCCATTCCCTGTCGTAAAACTCGTTGTGCGGTACATATACTTAATCTAGCAATTTCGAGTGTATAACTCCGATTCCAGTAGGAATATTTTATCTTATTGCCAATAAAAATACACAAACCCATATTTTAGCATTTTCAAATATTTTACGCTTTATTTTTTTTAAACGGCAACTGTTAGGAATTTAAAAATTCGAAAACCTGCATTCCTGCTGTACTTGATTTTCAAACATATGTACATGCAATAATTTTTTTGTTATTTTTTTTATTTACTTAAAAACCCAGGATTTGGCAAAATCGTGTATTTCTAATATTATTGAAAATTCATTTTTAAAACCTTAAGCAAGTAAGATGACACAAAATCCAAGTTAGTTATATATTCACGCGAAAGAGTCACATAAGTTCAGTTTGCATGCTCATGAGCGAGCAGTAGCGAAGTCGCAAACCTCAATCGCCATTTAAGGGCTCCCACTGCGACGTGATTGCAGAGTGAGTCAACTCATGGCGACAACAATTGATTCTTCTTAACTGGGTCGTTAAACGGGAAACCATATTGCTTCGTCCTCTCCTTCGTCGTGTTCGTCTGCCATTTTTTGAGATTTTCCTCTCTTCTGCATTTCTCCTCCTCGTCGTCGTAAACACCCCGACGCTGCTTCATTTCATTTTCATGTTCAAAACTCCTCAGCCTGCTGCCGTTCTTTGCTTTGAGACTGCATGAGATTTTGGTGGCAGAGTCATCCCAAAAATTGAGATTAACGACTCCCACAGTCATTTTTGGTCTTGTGTGAGTGGGAAGAATTTTGAATGAAAACGTGTTTGCTGGCCGTGTAGGTCGATTTAATGATCCCAGCGTCCATCAGTACACTCGAGTTTGTAATTTCGAGATTGACTCTACGGATATACTATTATCGTTAGCAGGAAAACGTCACAATTCATACACGACGACACATTTTGTTAGGAAATGTCATCCAATTATGTCAAGTTTCGTCAACTGCATGCAAACCTTGTCAACTCGACTCGGAAATGGAGCTTGTTGTTAAAGGAACTGTGCAAATTTAATGCTTTGTCCGTCCTATAAGGCGTGTGTACACATTTGCGCACAACTTGACAAATTTACTCATATTGTAAACCATAATGAGACCATATTAAACCATGCACAGTTTTTGTTGATACTCATTCTGCTAATTGAGTTAGTCCAATGAGTAATTAATCTGATCGTTAACTTTGAAGCTGTCATTGCCCTCCAAATTTGTTTGAAATGTACTTTTTATTACTTTTAGGTCTGACTGGATAAATTTAGAAGATGATCACGATCAGGACTCGTCACTCGTCCGAGTAACCATTCACTAGCAGAACAACGGTAACGATGCCTAGTGTCGGACTACTGGGGCGGAATCTGGTTCGTCAAGTGGGGACAATGAATGAGTACGGGGGGAGCAATGAGGAGCGGTGCGACTGCTGCCCTTACGGCTACCACATTGACCTGGACTTTGTCCCCTTCAGTAAAAAGATGCTGTCCAGGGAGGGCGACTACGAGCGGCTTAAACAACTAAAGGACAAATGGAGGTCGGAACGCAAGTCGATGGACACATTACTCGGAGTGGATTATATCAGCACGCCATCGTCCAAAATCGTGAGTCTCGCATTATTAATAAGTTGTAAGCTCTTGATATATTATCGCATAAACAGCTCCTCGTCTGGTACAAATTCATCCACTATTTGTAGATTGGACCAGCAGAGTAATAATGAGACCACTACCACGTAATTAATTACAGTAGAGCCATCTCCCCATGTAATTTAGATAAATATTCCTACCGTAAATATAGCCATGTAAATACGTGCGGACTTGTTGCTTGTACGTGTTGTTGTTGGTGGAATTACTTAATGAGGAGTATATTGTTGTAACACACAGCATCCATCGGACTGTTGTTGACTCGTTTTAATTTACACATCCCTGGTCGTTGCGTATCAATCTCAGTATGCACCCCAACTCTTTTGGAGTCAACAGTGTGTGAAGCCCTTATCTGAAACAATTAAGCGTGGCTTCCTGTGCCACACATAAACACGTAATGCTACTTGAACTCGCTACCAGTTTCTTCAAGTTTGGTATATCACACACCGTTGCATTGTTGTTGTTACGCTCTGGCTTCTCCTCTGGCAGGGGGTTAAGGTTTTCTGCCTTAAAATACCAGTAAATTACAAGTAAAAAGTTTCCAGTAGCACGTGATACACCTTGTTTCTCTTCAGGAGTGTGCGAGTCACAGTTCCTTCCAGTACCGGATTCCTGTTGTCTCCAGATTCGTTGTCGTTGGTGGTGTTTTAAGCAGAATTCTCAAAAGTGAAGCCTTTCTGGAATATTGCCTTGCGAAAAGTGTAGAATTTAGTGTCTCGTCAATATTTTTAGTTTTAAAAAAATAGACAGAAAGAACATCTTCCCATAATTGGAAGTGTGGTGAGGTACGTTGTTGTTTTTCAATCTTTATGCTCATCTCGTGTAACAGAAATTAATATCCATCATTCACATCAAAAGTTTGAGTTGTTTGTCACTTATTTTCCTATAAAAATGAGGGATGAGGTACACTGAGAGAACTGTTAATTGCTAGCGTATCAGTTTCAACTCTCTCATCTCAAATTCTTTTACCTGCCTTACTTATTTATTTATTATCGTTTATCTTACAGTAAGATTCTTACTGAAAACTTTTTGCTCCAATGATTGATAGCTTGTACATCATTAATTATCATAGAAAGCGAAGTGGTTTTGGAATTCCAACTCAAATTTGATGACAAGTCGCACTCCTATTGCGGTTGATAATTGAATCAACTGCACAATGGGAATTTACATTAATTGATATCTCGACTGACTTCTTTTTATCCCTTTTTACGATTTTTAGAGTGAATGAGTAGTGCGAATCGTAAGAACCTAAGTAGTAATAGTAGCCCCGTAGTAGTGAGTCAAGTGGGGAGGCATCATAGCCTTTAACATAATTGTGCGGAGTAGCAGCAAAGCAATGATATTTTCTTAAACGAGTCGAAAGTTTGTTTTGAATGGCAGTTTGCCATTGATGTCGCTGTCCTATGAGATATTATGCTACGCCATGAGTTTCAAACTCGTTGACAGACAAGTTAGAGTAAAGAATCTCATTCTGCCTCAATTTAAAAAAGGACACCTTTTTTTATATTACAAGACTGAGCATTTTTTCCATTAAAGTTCTCGCCCTTGTTTTTATAAAGCCAAATTAGACAATATCTTTCCCCCAGGAGGAGGCCTGCTTGAAAATGAAGCATGAAGGCTCTCATTCGTTGCGGTGTGCAAAAGCGAGCAAGGCTGGCACAGACTTCTTGCAACGACACCACTTTCACCAAAGTGCCCAAAGTTTTGATATAATATGGCAGAAAAACAAGAAATCCAACAGCTTAGAATAATACCATAAAATTATTACCATTATATATAGCTTGGTAGTAATGTATGCATTTACGATGCAAGAGTAATATTAAAATATGCGTGTGTAGCTATTAGTTAACAGTAGGATAGATTACAGATGCTAATCTGCAATGAATATTTTGCATAAGTGTCTTTTGTTGAACTTGATAATGGCGCAGTTATCTTCATCAAAACCGGCAGAGAGAAGAACATGCTACGATACGTCACGTCTTCCTGTTGTCAGTCACCTTTTCCTTTCGATTGTATTTGCGACGAGTCAATTTTATATGCATACCCTCCGCTTCGAAAGGAAGTACAAAAAAAGTAGTAGTGGGACAAAAATAGTAAGTTTCTAGCATTCCGTCACTGTATGATTATGCACTATGCATTTGTAGTCGGCTAAAGTTGACAGACTCGTCACACTGTCAACTAAATACGTGCAGCCAGCGAGCAATCTATCCATCCATCCATTACAAGGAGGATTTGTTAGTTCCTTTAATGAGTTGTCTCAATATGATGAACTAGCAAATTAGTTCAACGGTGGTATCAAATCATGGCAGATACTCTTCAGTTTACCAAAAACTTGTTCGTATATTTGTCAGTCTGATACATACATAAAGGGTTGAGAAACAGAGTTAAAATTTACCAACGTCCTTGTTTCTTCCAGTGCCTCAGCCCCAATAACTTGTCAGCAACACTTTCTCGAGCAACAAAGGACGTTTGGAGGGAGCGATCCTCCTGGAAAAGTAAGAATGTGAGAAGCTTAGGAAGTGACGATACAGATTTGGCGAGAAACGGAAGCAGCAGCAGTTCCGAGCTTCTCCTTGAGAACGGGCTGAGCGAAGCAGTGACAGATTTTGAGGAAGCGTTGCAAAGAACTCGACCCCAGTCCAAGATCCTGTCCTACGAAATTCCAGACTCGCAAAAGTTTCATACCTTCCCAAGAATCAAGACGCCCGCATTGAGGGACCCCGTCACCGGCACGACCAGCAACCTTACCGCCGTGAGCAACATTTTTAGCAACAGAGCCACCAGTGGGAGCACTTCGACAAATTCCGCCTCCACCGTAGTCATGAGGGACTCTCTGGTCAGACATTCCTCCATGGAGATGGTCAAGGTGAGAGAAAGAAGCAAAAAAAATTGTGTTGCCATGGCAAAATTTTTATTCGTTGCTGGTCAACTGGCCACGTCAGATGGAAGTTCTAAGTTCACAAGGAACACAAGAGGCTAATAAATATCACAGAATAAATATTGCTTGTATATTTAATTCGAAATTTAACTAATTCGGAAAATGTTTGGTACATTACAGCGAAGTCAAGACTTGGGTGAGCTGGAGCCCCAACTTTTCAGCCGTGTGGGTCGAGCTGGAGACGGCGATGAGCACGAAACTAAGTTTGTCGAATTGGAAAGACAGGTCAAACTGATTCCTGAACTTGAGGTGAGTAAATACAAATTTAAAAAGTTTCAAATTAATTTTAAATATTAAACGAGTGAAATGTTTGATTGGATTTTAGACGAAACTTAAAGACCTGGCGGCAGAGAAACGTCAACTTTTGCAATTATTGGAAATAGAGAGGTCCAAATGCGCCTCTATGACGAAGGATCTGCTCAACAACACGACGAATAAGGCTCCAACAACAGTCAAGCGATTAAGTACGCGAGATGCTGGGGTCCAAAAAAGCGTTGCTACACGAGACGTTGGAGTCACCCACATCATGCCTAGAATGAGGTAAGGTCAATTTTAGAGCAATTTGAGTAGAATTAATTCTTCAGTTATGCTAATTATTCATCGCAGAACAATCGCCGTTGGAGGAAACGTGGACATAAGTACTTGGGAACGATCTTCTCGCGGCGAGTCCTGTTCACCGACCGGAAGTTCTAATGGGACACTGAGGCGAAGAGTGAAAACATTCGATGCAGGTGTCCAAGTCAAGGATTACGATTTCCCGAGTTCTGATCCTGTCCCCGTTCTCCAAATCGTGGAAGGTGTCGAGTTTGGAGTGCAAGTAGACACCAACCTTGATGAACCAATGAAAGCTCCACCGAGAAAGAAACACGCTGGAACAATGGCAAAACCAGTCACTTCAGATGTTGGAATGTTCCACAAGGTTGTATATTGTTGGATATTTTATGAAATTATACTATTTATCAATTTTCAACAATTTATGATTTGAATGAATCGATTTATAGCCAACCCAACGAGACGCCGGAAGCGCAATGGATACAGAACCCGCGAAGCCAATTAAACCCCGAGTGAAACATGTCGGAATTTCGGCCACGTTGGACGAGGACAAACCAAAAGTACCGGATAAGGTGAAGCCCAACCGCGCCATTGCCACCAACACGGACCGATTAAGAGTGACATCCATTGGGTGCAACACTACGGTGAGGCTAATTTAAATTTAATATTATAGTTGAATGCTTAATTAATTACTAAATTTGGATATGAAGGCCGAGGGAAAACCAAGAGCGACATCATCCTCGTCCCAAACGGATAATGTGGAACCTTCCACAACAACCCCAACCATTGCTGGCGTATTGAAAAAGAGAACCATGACACTGCCATTCAGCACTGCTTCATCATCTCCTTCCGTCCTACAAAAGTCTCCTGGTGATACAAAAGGTCTCTCCAAAATACCCAGACTAACGTCTCCACTTAGCTCTCCGGGTGTTCAGCAAAGAGTGAATGCGGTTTCATCTCCGAACCCGGATCGTTCTGAATCTCCAGCGTCTTCAGCGTCGAGTGGGACGCATAGTCCTTCTCCGGCAGCGGCTGAGAGTCTCGTCAATTATTCTCCTATTCACAGGAAACCTGCTTATCAAAGGTCAGACACCTACATAAAAGAACTTTATCTACCAGAGCGGTCACATTTTGGGCCTTTGGAACCCCTGGAAGAAGAGGATAGAGAAGGACCACGGTCATCCTCGGCATCATCCTCATCGGGGTTTGTACCCCTTCAAGAAAGGCGTGAAAAGTGAGTAGTAGCTGATTTACGTGATTAATGGACTGAAGTCTGATAAATATAATTATATTTCTAATGCGTGTCATTTAGAATTTCTCCAAGCAAAGAGATGCAAGCGGCACTAAAGGTTCTAAACGATGCATTACTCCGTGGGAAAACTACGGAACAAGTCACTAACGCCATTAGCATAATTCTTCACGAGTGGTTTAGGGTATGAAATGTCACAATTTACGCCATATCTTTATTACGGTTAATGGTCACATTTAAATTTTGACTTCTTAGGTTGCTGGAACGAAAACTGCAAATCCCTTCGATGTCGAAGACTACTTGGACAGTTTTGAAATTTACTCCCCACAGCTTCTCCGTTATATTGTCAACATGCCAGATGGAAATGTACGCCCATTTTAATGGATACGCTTTAGCTGCACAATACACACATGTACAAAAATTGTTGTAACTGACAACTGGCTGAATGTTTCAGGGGAACACCGCCCTTCACTACGCCGTGTCGCATGGAAATTTCGACGTCGTGTCCATTCTTCTAGACTCTAAAGTATGCGACCCCAACAAAGCCAACAAGGCTGGCTACACCAGCATCATGCTCGTGGCATTGGCAAATATTTCTTGTGAAGCTCATCGACAGGTTGTGAGAAGATTGTTTAGCTTGGGAGATGTGAACATCAAGGCCGCACAGGTTTGAGGGAAAATTAAGATTAATGACTGTAATACGTTATTGAAAATAATTTTATGTTAAATTGCAGCATGGTCAAACTGCCTTAATGCTTGGAGCATCTCACGGGCGATTCGACACGATCCGACTCCTACTCGAAGCTGGGGCCGATATCAACATTCAGGACGAGGATGGAAGCACGGCTCTTATGTGTGCGGCGGAACATGGTCACATGAAAATTGTCAAGTACCTGCTGGCTCATCCTGATTGCAACCCACACATTACTGACAATGTAAGCAATACAAACAAATTGTGGTGCTACTTAATATTCGTCGTGCACAAGTAATTACATTGTGTTAATAATGAACTCACTTTAATTTTTAGGATGGGAGCACCGCATTCAGGTAAATAATATTTGAATCATCAAGTTGTGAATATCTTGCCAATTCAATCGCAAGTCGGTGGTGTTCATGGGGTCATGATCTTTTAATGATTTGTTTACAGCATCGCTATGGAAGGTCAACACAAAGACATCGGAGTGCTCCTCTACGCTCAAATGCACTTCGCCAGGCCAGAGGGTGCAGGAGGACTGGCAGCAAAGTCAAGAAGCACGACGCCAAGTGCCAGTTCACAAAATTCGACGGCGTCCTCCACAAACACATCGCCCTTGGCGGCCAAGCGAATCCAGTCAGATTCTTCCTTGCTCTCCCCCCAAAAGTAGAAAAACTGAATGTCTAGCTCGTATCGTAATACCAACACAACAAAAATAGCACATATATAATTATTAATCCATACAATTACTTATTTAATTGTGATCGCACGAAATCTATTTATATTTTTGAGACCGGTCTCAAAAACCAGTAGCAGAATGCCGGTCCAAATTTTTTTTTGTATTTGTCTAATCTAAATAAGTCTTGAACTTAATGATCAAACTATATATGTAACTCACATAATTTAATAAGTCTCCTTCTCCAGAGAACAAGTCAGTAATGAATATTAAACATAATCAAAAAGTACATATGACAGGGGAATCAAGGCACTTTATTATTACTACAACTGATCATTTTCAAAAACACGTAATGCTGCCTATTAAGGTTATTGATGAGTACCATTGATGTATTGCTTATAATAATAATAATATTTAACGGATTTATATTGGGTTGCAATCGTATGACAATGGAATATTATACAATTTATCGATAAAAGTTGACAACAATCGAAATTCTAATAAACTATAATCTCACGAATAATTTCGCAGTAAAACAGAAATAAATAAAAAGCATTGAGCGTTTCTTTAAAGCTCGTTGATGACAGAAGTACAATTCAGCAGCAAAAATATATATATTTTAATAAATAAAAGTAACGGTTACTCGCAATCCTCGATCCGTATAATGACTGACACACTAATTTCGGTGCATATATTGGTAACAATTCACGAATAAAAATAAATAGAATGGCTGACTTGGAATATGGACTGACCACTGGCACAAAATAATACAAAGGATCAAAGGCTGCTACACATACTTACATACACGAATGAAATTTAAGTGGAATATCACGTTTCTTTCAAAAATATTCAATTGTATAAACGGTACAAGTTTGTAGCAAAAATCTTGGATGATGAATCTTTTTGGTAATTTGGATTTTTTGTGTAATCGATAATTATCTACTTTATCGCTTGAATTTTGCCATGTACTTCCGGATTGTTGATTTCTCATCAAACATGCTCCTCAGTAGTAAAACCTGAGATTCATATTTATCAAACGTATTACTTAATATTAAACGTATTAAATATGGAGATGTTGGGAATCACATTACCTGCATCCCTCCAACAAAAATCAGAATCAACATGTAGAGCATTGACCAGAAATTCACTCGTTCAAAATTACTCTCAGCTATTCCTCGATCCTTCAGTTCCGTCAAGCGAACTTGATCTTGAGTGCTTTGAACTTTGTTGAGAGAGACTCGAACACGTTCTATAATCGACTATGAAAGCAGACAGCACAATTAATCCTATTACCTTAAATTAAGTAAATTTGACAACTAACCTTGATGTCATTCACTTGAACATCGTAAACTTGAACATCGGGCTGAAAATTGTCGTCATAATCCTTCCAATTGGTATCATCGTCGCTATCCACGCTCATATGGAAAGCAACCGTCTTGTGACTAAAATGACTGAATGTGTTATCGAAACAAGCTTTATAAATTCCTGCCATCATGATGGGCAACCTACAGAAAAATTGTATAGTTAGTCACATAACTCAAATCGAACAACCAGTAAAGTTCGTTAGAATTATAATTAGTCTTACTCATGACGCGACTCGGTTTTTCGAAACTCTGAAATGATCGGGCGTCTTTGGGTGTCTGACAGTTGGAAGTTAATATCCAACTCGCCTTGGTTCGAACTGACGACAGAGTAGTCAATATATAACGTCCTGTTAAAGTCGACATGTTCGAAAAAACATTCCTCCCGACCAGCTGGAACCTGCAGCATGAGATCCGCCCCCCATATGGGCACCGCGTAGTTGAGGAGCAGCAGGAAGGTGTACGATAAAGTGGATATAACCCTCATATTTGTTTCTGAAATATCCACACCTCAAAATGTTAATATTTTTTCGTATCTTACAATCAAAAGATGCTAGTCTTTTGTAAGTACATAGTTTAATTAAAGAAGTTTATTAGCTGGTATTATCCCTTTTCATAGTTTCAGAACGGCGGTATGCAGTTTAAGTAAATAATAATTTTTTGAAATTTATAATATAAATAATACGCAATAATACTTGCAAGATTACATTCATCAGATTATTTGAAAGTTACAGGACACGTAAAAATTTGCAATCCTTTTCGTATGTATAAACATTTCTGAGAACTTGTTACACTGTGTAACTTACACACAAAGTTGAGGAAATGTAAACAAAGTTAATTTAGGCAACTTACCCAGTCTATAAAATATCGCTATTAAAATTTGGAGCCCCTTGAATGAAACTGAAACCTCTCTGATTAAGGTTGTCGACTGGGGATGAAAGTGAAGTACTCGAGCGAGCGAAGTACTCGATAATTGTGAAAGATCAGCTTCCCGCAGTTCTCCAGCAATCCTCTGCCCCAAATATTTTGTCCAGCACATGAATTATGGTCATATTAGAAATTTAACATACTAATGACGAATTTGATGAAATTACGTCAATATTTCCAGCTTAACATCTTTTACCACAAATAGAATATTGACCTCTGATAACCTAAGTAGCTATTGTAGCTGAACTAGTAATCTTGAATATACATACAATCAAAATCAATTTTATCAAATTCCATTCTTACAATAAATTACCTGATAAACACGGGCCTAGCTCAGCATTTCGAGAGATGTCCCTTGAATGTATACATATCACTTAACAAAGGATCAAATATATTATTTTCATTAATCTATCATTTATGCATTGATATGCAAAATTTACATATCAAATGCATGGCATTGTAAATAGATGCGAAGGAGGAATTTTATAGTTGCATCGTGCTTTTTATATACTTTCCGCGAGGAGAATGTTTTCTTCACATCGCGATAAGAAAGGAATGCATACGAACGTTTATCCTACAACCACTGATAAGCGACGGAGGTACTATCTTGACTATGAGATCTCCCAACTTTTATATGTATGATTAATCACTGAAAATGAAACATTTTGAATAGATGAATGTGGAATGTGAACGTCTTGTCTCCTTTTTATCTCTTGATTTTCAAAGTTATCAATTCCGAATTCTCCAATTTTCCAATCATTCTATTGCTGGACTCTTTCTCGTCAACATCATTTCCACGCTCATTCTCCTGCTCCACGAACAATTCACAACTGTTCCCCCAAGTTTTGAAGTCCTATTAAACCCACACCCACCAATTCGTCACCCCCTTCATCTCATTAACAATGGTGCAGTCCGACACTCGCGGAAACTTTATCTCCTACAACCCTACTCCCACAGAATTATCTCCGAATGGGGCGAACCATTCTTCTCCGGCGTCCGCAGTAAACATGTCGACCCCTCAAGGGTCCCATGCTCCTTCACTCTTCAACCTCAGTGGTGATGAATTCCCCGACTTTCAAAGAAGCGGCAGGTCTCTCCTGAGGCCCCCCACAGGTCGCTCTACTCCCTCGGCATATGTTTCTAGTGGCCCAAGTTGTCAGAGAAATGCAAGTACCAGACCAAGTAACACTTCTGAATCGTCATCATCGGTCTTTTTTGGTGGACCTCCTGCACCCATGCCGCTATTTCAACCAAGCAACGTGAACATGGTTCATGGACAAGGACAAGGAGTTGTTCCTCCACCCCCGACTGTACCTGGAATGGGAGCAGGTCAGCCAGGTCAGCAAAATGCAGTACCATTTAACGTGATGGAATTCCAGGCAGGAGGAGGAGGAGAAACCAACTATCATTTCTACGCCGGAGCTACTGCTATTCATCTCCACACTCCAGGAACCTACGTGGTTGGCCTAACTGCGGACATCACTGTTGGTGATCGTGGATCAAGGGGACGAGCTCATCATCATCCTCATCGCCATCATCATCCTGGTCATGTCGACCCAGCAACTCACAGTTTAGATGTAACAGGACATCATTAATAGCCATTTGTCAGGAGCAACAATGGAATCTACTCATAAGGCAAGCTTATTCTAGATTTTTTAAAATTAGCATGAAAACTCTATATAAAAATTGAGTTATTACTTTATGTGTATTGTTTCTTTGTAGAGTAACTCAACTCGTCGGCTAAAGGAAATCTGCTGTCTTATCTGTATCCACAACCCAGCTCAATTCTACTTCTACTATCTCTTCTACTATCTCAATTCTACTTCTACTAAATTAAAATACAACTGAGTAAGAAACACGAATTTTCAAGTAATTCTAGTATTAAATATTTGGTAATTCGCCACATTACAAATTATTTAGACTTAAGTACATTTCATTTCATAAAAAATTTTTGGAATGTTTTTTTCAAAAAGTAAAAGTTTCAATGCTTATTCTTAAATAGCTGTTATATAATGTACGTATATTTCGTACATTGTTAGTTAACATGATAAACTAAACACATTTTTTCCATACAATTGATGAATAAATCTTAAATTGAGACTCAACTTTGTTGCAAAATGGGTACTCCAAAATTCTTTCACAGAGATTTTGATGGAGATTATGCATAATTTCACTTCAGTCAGATGCACAGCACATGTAAGAATATTATAATCTTCACAATTTTTATGGTGAACCGAAAGAAATAATTGTCAAGACGGGAAAGTAAATTTAACTTTTCATAGTATAGTCTTTGTGACGATTTATTAATCATTGGCAATGGTAGTAAAACTATCATCGTACAATATTATCTCATCGTCGCCTTATGATATATTAAATATTCTGTAAGAATAATGTCATATGTAGCGCATATTTATAAGTTGAATTAACTTGTTGTATACACGCTCTACTCGAATTCTATTTTTGTAAAAAGTACACAACTGGATGGCACAACTTAATCACCGAAAAAAAACTAAATGGACAAGTCGTTGGTTACTTTTTTTGTTCCGTATTGGCTCGTGTTTTAATGCTGGGTTTACAAAAAGTGGCGTTGAAAAGTAAAATCAATAAATATTTCAAAGTACAAATCCAAAAAGTAACACTATTAAATATTTATGACTTGGTTATACGTAAGGGATCAAATAACAAAATTAAGCAAAGTTAAGTTAACAAAAGATATTATTTCAATTTTCATGAAAAAAAATTATGAAAGGATAGTAACAAACTATCAAGTGTGTTAAGTGTAAGCTACACGTGAGTAATATAAAAAGTACAAAATGAACGACATGTATAGGAAATTGTCTACATAGTATAGCTATTTTAGCGGAGTTTACAATAATCAGTCTACATAATGGCGTTAACAGATATTGAAATTTGAAATCGATAAAATCAGACTTGTTATCGCTTCAATATGGGAAGCCGAACAGCTTGAAACAATAATCTCACTGACAACATGGGGAAGTAATTATACACTCGTGAGGATCCAACGAATGTACATATTATAGGCAATGTATAGGTTTGACAAGATTGAAATTGTGGGTTCAAATGGATACAGCAATTAGTTAACAAAACGGAAAATATTATTTGGATCATAGTAGATTATACTTTATAGAAAATCCACTGCTTTAGTATCCGTTTATCAATAATGCGGCTTAAGTGAGTTTGAAGAAAGCTGCAGTGTGTATTGATATATAAATTTCTGAGTATCAACAAAACACGCTTGCAAAGAGTTTAAATAATTAAAAACCTGAAATGTTAAAATTACACATTTGTGTGTATATGTAAAATTGTATCAGTTCTTATAGGATGTAATAATTACCAGCTCTTTGTAAGTTTAAAATACTTTATCTTTTGTAGCTACATATATAGCTTGTAAGCAACCAGTGAATGTTTCGCCAAAACTGCTTTTCTTAAACTTGCCCATTTCCAGGTTTACCAATACTTTTACGCATATATTTAACAAAACTAGCACGATAATTCAGGAACACAAGAGCTATAATATATAATATCTTCACAACCCAGAAAACGGAAATAGGGTTATGTGCATACGAAGAGTGGATATTTATATCGCAGGAACACGATGTTGCGTTTCTAGTGTATTAAGCTTAGTGTAGCTGTGGTCAAAACCAGATACACGAACGACGAACGCCGATATCAGATATAAGTATGAGAGATGTTGGTGGGAGGATCCAATATGTATTCAGATCATTCCGTTCACTGTTCTCTTCTCATTGATACGTTATTGTACTATACATAATCTTTAACAATTTGGTAGTGTGAGGGTAAGTAATATATGAATGTATGTATGTAGTGGGGGTTTGGGAAGTGTTTCTTCTTTGCAAACTATGTATATATGTATGTATAATATAATATAGATATATGTATTTATAATATATGTGACTTATTTGATTGGATATTTATAACCTGACTTAATTATTGGAAATTTAATGTTACACCATATGAACATTTTGAAGTATGTGTTCATCAGGGTGTATTCCTTTCAACGAGACGTGGTGATGATCCGAAGGCGTTCGATGCCTTGTTGTATAGTGAGGTTGTGATTGTTGAAGTTGTTGCTGGTGTTGACTACGATTAGCGATTGACGCTAGTAATGGATTGGCTGCTTCTCCTCCTTGCAGCACATCTAATTTTCTGGATTTATTAGTATTATGTACATGGTGATGATGATGAAGGGGCGGACCGCGAGGCTGTGCACAGAAAACAAAAATCACCGTTAGGATTTATCTGATCCACGACAATGAATAAAGTCATCGCAAGGTAAACTAGATAAGGCTGGCTTAAAAACATCACTTACTTGCTGTCCGTAAATATTTCTATGATAAATGTCTACATCGTGAGGATAAAGATGCCCTTGCCCTTCATCCTCCGACAGATCAGACACCGAAGCACGAGGGGACAAGTGATTCGGTTTTTCAATCTCCTCGTAGACTGGGTCTGCTCGGTGAAACCCACTTCGGATATCTGAATAACTGCTTCCCCTCCAACTCCCCTCCAAACCCACGTGAGGGCCTTTACTGTACAAGCCTAATATGGCTGAAGGATCACCCGGGTAGCGATGCATTGGCCCACCACCTGAAGGACCGTATTCCACAAAGAAATCTGATTTTAAAATTAGTCTGAACTTGTGCAAATAACATTACATAATATTCCAAAAGTAGGGCAACATACCGGGAGATTGCTGAAGTCCAACACCACCCAGCTGCTTGCTGTAAATGGCGTCGTGATGGTTTACAGGTTGACGGCTAAGCGTTAGGATTCGTCCATTGCCGTCAATGACCCTCTGAGTTAAATGATTATTTTGACATGCTTCGAGCATGTAACCACTGCTACTTCCACCGCTCCCTGCACCCGACGAGTTTACTCCGCCTGGACCACCCTGAAGTTGCTGTTGGGAATGGGTTGACATTTCAGTATCGCTACTATCCGAGCTCTTGGCGCAATCACATATCTTTGTTATCATCTGAAATCAATGCAAAAAGTTGTTTACTAAATCAATTACTACTAATTTTTGTTTACATATCCACACATGTATATATATAACAACAGCAATTGTGCAGATTTGTTTAATTATCTTACATCTTCAGACTTGAGTGCATGAAAAACTAGTATTGCAATCCCCTCCAGGGCCAACATAAGGCTTGCTGCATATGACAAAGATGGAGAGGATGACTCCAAGTCCAACAGTCTCAATGTCCACGCCAAAATCATGAAAATAAGGATTAAAAAGCTGCCCCTCAGCCAAGTCCTGAAAATATTTAATACGCCAACAGTTAACTCGTCTGCTAATAAATATGTACAATAATCGTCGACATTTTATTACTCACCCAGCATATGTATACAATGATTTGTCGTCGTTAGGTTTTTTAGGCATTGCTGACAAAAGTCCGCAGACTTTATACGACGTGTATATAAGGACCGCAGCAGTGGCCTAAAGAAGCACAGAAAAAACACAACGTTAGTGAAATCATCCAGAGCAAAATAATTTCATTAAAAGTGAACATGGATGAAGGGTAAGGAGATATTGGCATCAAGATTAAATGAGCTTTATTGAACCGTGTGACTTACCAGAGCTACCAGCACTGCTGGCCCCACGAAGCACAGCAGTGTGAAACTGGTCTGCACCCAACAATGTTTCTCACTCCGATAACTCCGTGGGTCCAAGAGGAAGGAGAGGAGAACAACGATTGCGGGTGAACCATATGAGACACCGTAGTACCTGTTAATATGTACAAAAATAATAATATTATGTACTTTTACACATCTCTCTCTCTCTAATCCAACCATATTCACATAACAATACATTCAATAAATAATTAAAAAAGATTAAAGTACCACAGTTGACGAGATAATCCATTTTCAGCCGCTTCCACCACTATCAGATGGAGATGGAAGCCTGCAAAGTGACATTAGAATTTATGTGTGTGAACAAACATACATTGCAGAATTGGACTTTTGAAAATCGTGGTAGTGGAAGGAAAGAAGACATCGAATTACGGACACTTAATTGAAGGCATAATAAATTAAATAGAGATTAACTCGTCTCTTAGATTGAGACCCATAATTTACAAAAAAAGACGTTCAGCAAAACCAAACCATAATTGTCTATAAAGTAAAGGGCGGTGGTGGATGGTAGGATTATTATATTGATCAATAATGTGGGACATATATGTAAGTACTTACCATGTAGGAATAGCCATAAGACTGAAGCCAATGCAAAATAATGAAGGAGCATTGCAATGACTGTGCACTCCACGGGCTTGTGAGTTAGATGTATTCCCGACACGAAAATTATTTCTCCAATCAAGATACAGACAAACAAGTTCTTGAGTATCATGGTTTGAAATACCTGTAGAATAAAGTAACAAAGTTACTACCATGATTATTGCCATGATATATGTAATATTGCATTCTGCTTCATTAGCATTTCACTACTACTCCATGCAATTATCAGCAATCCGGTTAATTACAGTTTTGGAAGAGTATGCACTAGAAGAAGACAAAAACATGGCACACACTTACGCGTCCATTTATGCAAAAATGAGTAATGATGAGTGTGAAGAAAAGGCACAGGACAACCACGGCAGATCCGATGTACATGACAACCTGTAAACGAGAGAAGAAATTTCAGTTAATGAGGAGAATGGGCATTTGTTTCTCTTTGCCCGATGGGGAATAGAGGAGGAGGCTTGTTGCTTGTTAATATTACAAGGAATTACATTAATGTAATAAATGCTATACGGAATATAAAGACAAATGGTTGTTTCATATTAGGGACAAAAAGCAGGGCAACAGATACTTGGAGTGGGAATAAGGTATTTATTATTCTGAATAGGAACGAAAAAAGACATTCTGTTATAGAAGGCAAACTCTTATGGCCACTCTGTATTTGAAGACATTTTACAGAATTTTGTATGTGTGTTTACCTGGAGCATTTGTGGCGTGGGAAGTTGCTTAGGAGGGGGTTGAAGATCCATGAGTATTGCGAAATTGGTCAAATGTCCTGGGTTCAAAAATGTCAGTTAGACACATACATAACGTTCTTATTAAATGCTAAATAATTATTATGCTTACCACACTGACACACAGTATGGGTCCGATTGGTGTTTTCCACATGACACCCCTCTTCTGACCATTTACTGCAGATAAACACACACACACCATAATAAGTAAGTAAATTGCAATCCTTGTGGCAGATGAATTTATAGGCTGCCTCCATTCTAATTGTATACTAAATCACATTCCTTTCCTTGAATGATGGTATAATTCATTCCATTTTGCTCCTCTAGCATTAATTATTACTAAGCGGTTATGCAATGTTTTCATTAATTCCTTTTGACATCCATGTACACGCGTTTAAATTCAATTCAGTCCGTAGTTTGAGGGTCTAAAAGATTTGAAACTCGAAAGCAGTCCCCAAAACCAGCCTTGTTGTTACTGAATATGTTCAACTTGTTCTCTCTACTTTAGAATTGGCGAGACAGGCTTTTCCATACACATACATTGTCCTTGAGTCTCGCTGATTCTCGCTCCGAGATATAGCATCTCCATTACAAAGTACGACTTTGTATTGCTATATACCGCATCACTATATTTCACCCCCGTCAGCCATGCCCATAATTCACTCAATTTCGACAGAAAGGAAGGAATGGGAAAGACTACAAAATTAACAAACTTACTCTTGAGTATAGTCCCAGAACACGCATTGAGGATTGCTCACATTATCAAGCCATAAGTGACGAAGTGTCAGCCGGACAGGTAGAGCCAATTGAATGTGTCTTCCCTGATTCAGTGATGCCGAAATCACTCGAGAGTTTACCAGTTTCCGTACTTGTGTTGACTCTTCGCTACCAATGATGTTGTCGACAGGTTGGAGTACCTAAAGAGAGTGTGTGGATAAATTAACAAATTCTAAACTTGCCCCATAAACTCATTATTATTTCAACTATTAAAGGTAAGTAACACTATAGTGCAAATTAAAGAGTTACATACATGCTCCAAGTTATTGTAGGCGAAACAAACTAGCCGGACAAGACCACCATCGCTATTTTCTCGAAGTGCCTCAGCCGGCATTGTGAGCGAGTCTCCCATTCGACCCCAGTGGTCTGACCCTTCCGCTGGAAAATTAATTTCCCGAACATTGTTGGCCTCGATGGCGTAAATACTGGTAACTGTAAATAGATGAAATAAAGTTAGTTTGTCATCTAGTATGTTGGGTTGGTCGCAAAACACAGACATGAGAATGATGTAGTATCATGAATGAGTGACATTTCCACTTACGTATATTCTTAACAGATTTCCTAAGGATTTTCTCTGATGTGACAACGTTTGCTAATAGGAATGCATTGTCTTCCAGTCCGACCAGTAAATCTGTAGCAATTTTCATTTGATCTGCATAGCTTAAATCACGCCAGCCATCCAGACGGGCCTTTTCCAACAAGTTACTTCCAGCCTCTAGAATTAGTTGCAAAAGCTCTGCAGCCAAGTCCTAATAACAACACCAGAAAGAAAGATATTATTTATCCACCTTGTGTAACAATGTGTGTATTTCGTGGAAATAACCAGCTATTTAAGCTAACCCAGTGTGCCTTGAACACATAAAATATTCAATATCCTTCAATAATGCTTAACCCACCTCTCGGCTAACTTGATTAGTTAAGGTCCTCAGCTGGTCATTCATCCGAGTTGCAATAGTTTTTATTATGCGGACTGCTGCTGCTATATCGCCTCCGTACATCGGTTTGGTACTCGTCACTTGGGCCAGGTCTCCAGCAACGTTGGAAATTCTGTCCCCTTCCAAAACACGTGCCTGTAGAAATTTGCATTTCAAACACAGTTACTCACGAGCACAATTAGTTTTTCTCTCGTTAATGAATTATTGATGGAGGAGAAAAGACAGGGAAACAATAGAAAAAGTCCTGGTGGTGATTTGTTCATGAGCACATGAACTCGACAACCCTCCGTTCATTAACAATACGACACGAGACGATGAAGGTGTACAAAAATATACCTGCAAACTGAGGAGCCACGCAGATTTACAATCACTGAGATCAGGAGACTCGGGGAACCACATGACTCGGGGGAGATTATTGTTGCGATGATTTTCAACACATTTCCATCGAGCCAAGCCAGAAGCCCCCCCGGGACACGCTTGCTTAGCAGTTTCACCCACCATCGTCCAGTTCCAAAACATTCCCCTGTCCATTCTTGACGCACACAGGTCCTTTCCATTCTCTCGGCCACCTATTGTATGCAAAACCAGAAACCATCGTATTAGAATAATTACACATCAAGTTTTATCCTAGTCGATCAAACACTGACTATCGTTTAAAAAACACTAGACAAGAGAGAAAAATTATCTACCGAAAAATTTACCTGATAAAGAAATTCGTTTATTTTGAGAGTCCATGTCATCTTCCAGCTCACTCTCAACTTCTTGATGGGCCCCGTACGGCGGTTGAACTGTGGGACTTAAGGTGACGACGCCTTTAGGAACGCCAAGCCCACTCTTTCCGTTGTTATTAGTGTTAGATCTACTGGGGGGTTCTCCACCACCGCCCGACACCTTATCTGACCACGAGTTATCCCCGTCCGTTTCTTTGGGTCGCTCAAACTGAGATGACCACCAGCTTTCGGTTCCGTCCACTGAAGACGACCCACCCGTATCACTCCCCTCGCCTCCAGGCCATCGCTTAAACTCAGTGTCCAGAGGAGGATCGTCCTCTCCGGAAGAGCTGGGCTCCCCCATGTCATCATTATCTCGACTTCCACCACCATTGTTGAATGGGCTGAAGGGATCCCCCTCATTGTTGGGTAGGACGGCACTGATCGAAGTGGATGAGGGTGGGACGGTGGTTGGCGTGGTGTGGAGCACGGAGGGGTGTTCAAAGTCCCCATGAGACAAAATCCCTGTCCCCACACCGTACACGGACTGATTTCCCAACACTTGATGAGTTCCAAATGGAATGAGTTCTGAACCTGATTCGTCAGGCTTGTTGGCAAGGTCTTTCACCGACGTACTGCTGCTGCCACCACTCCCACTAATACTACCTATTGACTTAGATTCTGTACTCAACACGGGGTTCAACCAGGGAGCCAAGGGATTATTTGTTGGAACGGCGCTTTTTGGGGTGGTTGAGGTTAAGGAACTCGCTAAAAAAATTCATAGAATAATACCAAATTAAAATCATTCATTCATTCGGTTTGAATATTTTTTGTGCATTGATGTGGGACGATCAACAAAAAGCAGTAGCTCGAGTAGTGCATAGGCACATTAATATGACACGACGTAAGCACGTCAGAAAGTGGGTGGTCAGCAATCAGCAGAGAAAGAGAAGGTAGGGAAATAAAAAGGAAAGAAAACAGTGCTTTTTAGCCAGAACACCATGAACTAGCACTGAAAAATATGTTGCCTCTAATTAGCTCACGTTTCAAGAAAGAGACCGACAAATTGCAAAAAAGGAAAGGAATAATCGGACCCCACATCAATCCGAATTTCAAATGACTTCCTGAAGCAAATTTTGCACGAGACGGGGTACGACATATACCAGTGTTATTATGTATGGAGCTCATGACTCATGTAGGTACGACTGTTACTTCTCCAGCGGTTGGTTATTGTGTGGTTGCGCAAAAGAAACAATCTCATTTGAATTAACCGTCTTCACGGCATTCAATATTCAATGATACCCAGCAATTTGACTTATCTCCCATCTCCCAGGGTACCAGCAACAGCAGCAGCCGCCGCAACAGTAGAAATGAGAGAGAGAGAGGAGAGAGAGAGAAAAGAGAGTTAACAGCAACAAAGTCATATATCAAACCCAAGTAGTTTCTCTGCCCGAGCAGAGAAAGCAGTCAAAGGGTTGAAGGAAATTACAACGTACACGAAGCTCGCATGCAAGGGAGGACCTCCTCCACAGTTTCAGAGCATTTATTACCACTACTACTCGAGGAGAGAAGAAACCATGTGTTATTTCATGTAACAAATGTTGGCTATTTGATCCTGGAGCCGATGCCGCCGCCGCCGTCGACGACGACGACGACTGCTGCTGCATTGCACTACTATAGTTAACGAACCTACTGACTACTTGGCTGCCACGTCCACTTGCCTTCATTTCTTCCTCAAATCCGAGTTAAAAGCTGGATGAAATAGAATCAAAATCCACACGACATTGTCTCCACTCCTACGATTCATTTTCCCTTTCTCGGACTACTCGGATATTATTGAATGAATATCAGAACCCACACCACCCTCTCCCCACTCCACTCTCTCAAACTCACTTCAAACTCTCTCGTGCATTACATCCTCCAACTCCCGTGATTCTTGGAACTCGAGTAGCAGTCCACTAACTTCATTACGACTTCCCATCCCTCATATCAGTCTCCACGAGTGAGTGGTTGCCAAAACACACTAGCATCAGAGAACAAGAAGAAGAATGACAACACAAACTGGAAAGTCCGGAGAGAGAGCATAGATACATACAAGAAGAGAAAGAGAGACGAATATCGTATTATCCAATCCTACTGCTACCACTACGACTGTTCTGTCCTTCAACAACCAGCCAGTGTCACAGCCGTTGTCAACTGGTTCAATAAATGTGTGGCATACGTATTATCCAACAATAATTATTTCAGGCACGACGACTTTTGAATTTCAATTCACTCTCCATCGCTCAGACAAGAGTTTTCTCTTCCATTTTGGATTTAGGTTAGAGGCGGAAAGGAACAAAGTAAAAATTAATTGATAGCTGCCACACATGTATGAATACGACCGAGTGCAGCTTGCCCCCACACGTATATACTTACGATTAGCGCATATACACACATATGGCAAAAGTAGTTCGTCATCATCCTTCTGTCTAGTTATTACTTGGGTGCATATCATATCACGCAATACGAGAATGCATCACTCGTTGCGGCAGAGTGAAAGCTCTCTCTCTTATTCAAAGCCCAATCATAGCAGATTGAGAGAGCGAGAGCATAGGGAGAAGCAAAACTAAAACTATACGTAAAAGTACAACTAGCAGTGCAGGACAACAACAAGTGAACACAATGCAATTTGCTTTTATGAATACAAAAAGCTCGCTTTAATAAATGATACTTTGAGTCTGAAAATGAACTGGATTCTCAACATGGGGAATAAAAATGTAAGCCTTGTCGTGCATGATCTACTTCTCGTGCCGCCAAATAATACGTATCATCCTTTGCCAATACTTGTTTTTTTTATTTGAGAAAGAACCAGGTATACGCATACATGCATTGCACATACACAAGCAAGCACTCAACTTTATGCAGGTAATTATTGGATATCTGGAAAGCACCAGAGTGAGAGAGAGAGAATCCGAGGCTTTTACGTCATAATATTCAATCTCCATACACGCCAACCAACCAACCACCCGAACTCGGACAGGAATAGGACTGACTGGAAGTAGTCAGTGTAATGTAACTGCAGGTTGTTGGTAATGGTGGTGGGTTCACTTATTTGCCTCGCCTTTCTCCGAATTTGTGCTCATGTTCTTATTCTTCTTCCTCTTCTCAACTTTCACAAAAATTCAATGAGGGAAATTGTTTGGGCATGAAAAAAAAATCCAGCGACCGAAATATAATACGTGTAACGACATGATCACACACACACACAAATATATTACAAACATGTCTCTATAAGCTTGCTATTATTATTAGTGCATAGTCAGAGGGAGGAAGGAAAACTTGAATGTTTTCTCTCAAACCCGGAGAGAATCGACTAAAAAAGGGGATTTTTGAAGCGCTTGTTGTTATTGCGAGTTTACTGCCATTCTACTCCTTGTTCCTATGCAGTGTCTTCACAGAAGGAAAGCATACAACAAGCATGCCATAGTTATACACATGGTTGTTGTGTCACTTCTTATGTAGCTTGTTATTCTCCCACTTTTACTAACTCGTCCTAGTCTACCTTGGTGATGCAAATCAACTTTTTTGGTTCCTAAAATATATTCTGGAGAAAGAACCCCACCGGGTTTAAAAACCTTCAGGTTGAGATAAGAGCCAAAGTCCAAAAGTCATAGGGAAAGTCATACGTAGGGAAAGCATGGGCGGTGGTGGTGGTTATGAAAGAAAATCGTACACAATTTCACAAGTGCAAATAAATACAATCTCGTTGTTTGTTTCTTCTTTCGTACTATTACGAGCCCCACCACCACACTGGCAGCGTGGCAGACTTAGACTAAGTGAACGCCAAACAAATAGAGGATCGACGAGGCTCGTTGGTTGCTTTGCTGGTGGTTGCCAAGAGTAAATAGCATGTTGTGCTCTTTGTGGAAAGCCATTATGCAAACATTCCTTCAAAAAGGGAGATATCCATAAAAGTCACTTATTTGCTTACTTCTGCTCCAGAAAGTAGAAACCCAACCCATCATTTACCATAATGTAGGATAATATAATACAGCACAATCAAACATCGCCAAAGGTTATTGTTTCGTCCTCCATCCATCCGATACATGTACTTTCTCCATCCAGAGTCAGGCAGGCAGGCAGGCAGGGAGTGAAGAGACAAATTGCGTTTTGTGAGCACCATAGATCGAGGAGCCTTCTATTAAATTAGTATTAGTATCGGCCAGCCTGCCTGCCCGTCCTGTCGTGGGTGGAAAATAATACGACATCGCAGCAAAGCACTCACTCCAAAACAATGTGAAGGGAGCCCTTTCAAATAGTGTATGACATAATGATAATGATATCACTCTGTCCGCCAGCACCACCACCACCAATAATAGCGACAATAAGTAACAACAACAACGTGGACACTGCCATCATCAACTCTTCATTTTACAAAATGTTTCTCCAGCACCACTGCAGTCATGGTGGTGGTGAAAGCAGCAGCAGCAGTCGACGCTTCCCAAGTTACTTACTCCTTCCACCCATCATCATAACCAACTTATACACTATCTCCTTAGTCATCATCTGATGCATATTGGATTACTTCCAACAAGAGTTTTCCCGTTAATTCAGTTAAACTGATGAAACAGCAATAAAACGACCTCAGACTTCATTTACACCTGAGTGTTTGAGAATAATCACGCGACTTGGGAAGTCGTCTGCTTAGATCAGACTGCTCCCACGGCAGGCTCTTAGTCTGGGTGACCATCTGCACCAATATCATTATTTTCAAATTTCCATCAGCATCTTCACTACATAATCCAGTGTCTAATATTTAATAGCCCCATAAATTTATGCTTTAAGATATAATGGAGAAATGAAGGAGTATAAGATGTGCTTTTCCAAACAACTCTATATATCCGCCATCCCCTTTCGCCTTGCCATCATTGAAATGGATGCGGACATGCCGGTTCGGCATCAAAAACTATAAATGTGCTGCTTCCTCCTCCTTTACTTCTTCGGACTCTACTGCTTTCTCCCCACTTTCCCATTCTCACACCAACTACACATCTTGGTCAACTTGTACCAGATACCGAGAGTGGTGCTATTCGTGTGTGAGAAAAGAAGAGCACCCATTTCTTTGGCCGTAATATTGGTCCGATGATACATCATCATCATGAGTCATCATCATCACAGCGAGAAATCCCTAGACGGGCATCATATCTGTATCTCTTCCACAGAGAAGGAGGCTCAAGTTGGCAAAACTGTATTAAATTCAGGGGAGATAAGAGAGAGAGAGAGAAGAGAGGACTCCAGGTTGACGGGCTTATAGTCCATTCCATTTCCATCATCATCCTGTTGCCATCAAGTCTTGCCAGCCCTTTCAATCTGTTCTTATGTTATCCTGCAGCGCAAGGAAACGCATGTTTCTCCGCGATAACATCAAATCAATTATGTACATATTTCCTAATCTTCAAACTATCATCACGCTGCTGCTCCCTCCTCCTCTTATTCCACCATCAAGTAAATAGCTGAGGAGGAGAATGGTGAAAGGAGGACTGACGAGGCGACTAGGCGACGAGGACGACGACTCCCTACATATTATTGCCTTACTTTCAATGGGAATAATGAAATCCGCCACCACCATCACCAGACTCAATCAAACTAGCAAGATCACTGATTAGGAACAATCATCAGCGATAAAATATTTATTATTTTTATCGCAACCAAACAATCTACAAATACCTTTGCGGTGTATAACCTTCTCTTTCGATTTAGCTCTTATTAATACTCCCAGGGACATATTTCTTTAGCCAATGAGGAGATGAATAAAAGGACCAAACTGCCGTTTGATTAATGGAAGATAAGCAAGCAAGTTAACAAAAAAGCAATGAAAGTCGACGGAGCATTCCTGAGAAGAACATGAATTACATATTCCATCATGACGGAGAATGATTATGATTATGATGCACATGCATTGTGGGGTTGGCTCTAATCATAATAATACTTATCGGGTATCTTACCTGGAATACATTGATACTGCACTTCGAGGTACTTCCGGGTTCCTGTACAAGTAAAAATAAAAAACAATTATAATCACAATTCATTTCATAAGCATAGCATAAGCATTTGAGTCAAATGATTTGACAGTACATACCGGGACATGGGTCGCCAAACGTCTTTGTGCTCGCAATCACACTACAACTTCTTTGATAGTTGCATCTGAAAATAGTACAAAACATACATAAGGCTAATTTTTAAAAATGTGGCAATAAGTAAAGGAAAACTCGCATGTTATACACATTATGCTACATATACATATGTCGCATGCACACGTGGGCATATTAAACATGCGTCCATTCGTCCCTATAATAAATCAAGGAGGAGCGGATGAGTAATGAGGCAAGAATACATTCAAAGTCACCTGCCAAATCCCACGTCCTCGAGTGAACTAATTATCTTATGAGCATATGTATGTATACAAGGGATGATCAACGGATATCAAAAACTAGACTGGCCCAAGTGGATTTGAGCGAGTAAAATAATCGCAACAACTTAAAACTCGTATCATCAATACATACATTCATGGCACATATGTGTATGTATACGTGGAAAACCGTTACGTCGGTAGGAGTATCACATTCAATACAATAATATGCAATCAATGCGAACAATTAGGTGTGGATACGCAGGGAGTCATTTTTAGATATGTGCGGAATAAAAGAATCATGTTCAACTTTGTAACATCTTTTTCTTGTTTACAGAAGGGTGCAATGATAAAAAGCAGGAGGGAGGCCTGAACTTTAGACCATCATCTATTTATCCATCTTTTATCTACCCATCTCTCTATCTGTGCACTCTCAACTCACTCGCAGTGTTAATATGATAACTGCAGCTGAGGAAGAAGAGAGAGAAGATTGACACACATCGAAAACAACGGTTCGCCTTCAGATAAAAATGCGAAACGTCGTTTAAAAAATGGCAAGAGGGCTAAGTCATAAGTTATTTAGCAGCTCGACAGCCTACACACAGACAGACACAAACACATTTGCTGCAGTGTAATAAGTAGAAGTTGGTCATTATGGGAAGCAACTTCGCATCATCAATTGCTTGGCTTGCAGTGTGATGGAAGTAGGCAGAGCATCTGTCAATGTGTCCGAGTATAAACACCCCGAGGAACATGGCTTAGGTGTCAAGATTCACTGCCACAACAATGCACCACGCATAGAAGAGTCATTATCCCACATACATACACATACTGCATCCAATTTATGGCCCATGTTAATGTTGGTGAACTGTGGCAATGAGTCCTCCACTTCAAAGTCTCAATACAAATTGATACATCGATGACAGCCTCGAATTCCAATGCGGCCTATTACTATTATTATTATTATTATTATTATCGAGTGTCTCTCTCTCTCCTGTTATGTCCAATTCAAAAAGAAGAATGAATGTGGGCCACACTGCATTATTGTAAAGTTGTTTCGTATTCTCGCCTTGGGAATCTCACCAGAAATTGATGGGTATACACACACAAGTATATTAATAGATTGATTGGTGCGTTTCATGCCAATACGTTAAGCACAACGGACTTGCTGCCATTAAAGCAGAAACCACTGACTGATTAGCGATACTTGCCATATGATGATCGAACTGCATCATCTTTCTTGTGGGTAATGTGTTCAAGTCCGATACAGACATGTGTATAAGATGACGATGACCCAGACAGACACAATGCAATGAAAATACAACAATGCACAATGAGATAGAGGGAGAAGAGGAGCTCGAGTGGTTTATACGCCTCGGCGTGCTTTCAGGGAAGAAAAGATATGAACTCAGAGATTCGACCTAGAACTGAAGATGAGTGGGAAAACTCTGCAATTTTTCCATTGATCCAATTGACAATTGATGAGGTCGAGAAGGAGTGACGGACATATATCATATCGTAGAAAGTTGGCAAAATTATAAGCTCAACAACACCACCACTTAACGTATAACAATGAATTTAGGTATATTATAGCTGTACACATGTTCCTTTATATTTCATTTTTTGGCACCAAAAGACAAAGAATAGAATGTAAAAAAAAGTATCATGAAAGTTTTGACTTACGTTCCATTCAGAACTAGAATAGATTTCGGACTTCCTGTTGGCAAAAAAACAACAAAAATTAAATGGTTGAACAAACCAATTTATTGTATCATCCATAGTTATGTCCTGATTATTAAATTAATTCAGCTAAACAAACTGATAATAAAATATTATACTGATAAAAATCACGTACCACAATTGACACTCCACTCCGTGTTTCCGTTCTCATTACAAATTGTGATGGAGAATCGGCCATAAATAGCTAAATAAATAGAAAGAGTAAATTAGCATTTAATTGACCTGATGGTTAACTTTTTATAATAAAATACAACGCATCTGAACTTACCTCGAATCAAATGGATCACTTTGCCTGGCTCGCAGTCCAATCGGAGAGCCGAGCCTTCGCATGCATATGCCGTTTGCTTCCCTGTAACAAGAGAAAGAAAAGAAAAACATTATTACGGGTTCTTTTTTGCATTGCTACAAGTAAAAGTTCAAAGGGTGTCAACTGCTGTTGTTTCATTCATTCAGTTGTGTTTTTTTTTCTTATTTTGGAAAAAATAGTTTAGTCTGGCTGGCCTGTTTCTTTATGTGTAGGTTGGTACGGCTATTGCGCCTTCGCATAAGCAGTTGAATCTTGTTTCGAAAATGCATGCTTAGCAGGACTGGAGTAGTAGTGTTTGGGTAATAAAGTGTATGGAAATCAGTTGGGTTGGCTGGAATAATAACAAGAGTACGACGAATACAAAGGTCCCCCTTTCCTGTTTCCTTCACTCACTCCGTTTCCTCCTCCACTTATCAGCAGTTGTTATTCTTGTTCATTAGGATATAATACATCGATAGGGAGACATTACCGGTCTCTTGTTTAGTTAATAAAATCTCGCTCTAATTACGTTTCCAAACGTAAGCATTGCATAATACCAACGCCGCCGAATGTGGAGTAAGCGATGTTTCTCCAACAATCTCTCTCTCTCGCTTTCTACACACTTGAATTTCCTCCTAATGAAATTTACTTTTACTCACAAGGGACACTCACGACCTGTCGTTTGAGTCCAGGGTACCCACTATGTTTTTCAGAATCTACTAGGACCCCAGATGAAGGATTCATTCATATTTCCGTGTAAAACTCATATTTGGCGCCATGGCGTGGCGCCAAATTCGCCAAATTTGCATGTTTTTATTTTTGAAACCGCCATAGCTTTTGAAAACCTGTACGGATTTTCAAAATTTTTGGCAAAAATCATGACAAGGAGTTCAACTTTCGTATCCAATGAAATTTTTTCCAAAATTATCACTTTTAACTTTTCGCAAAATTTCGTAATTTTCTTATAAACGGGGGTTCGTCGAAAAAATGCTAAAAATATTTCAAAAATTAGAAATTTTTTATTTTTATTTTTTTCTCAAAAATTTCAACTTTTGTGATCATTTTAAGTATAAAATTTTGAAAATCCGACATAAACTGCTAAAGTTATGGGGGTTTGAAACTGGTCGAAAATGCAAATTTTGAAGTTTGGCGCCACGCCATGGCGCCAAATATGAGTTTTACACGGAAATATGAATGAATCCTTCATCTGGGGTCCTAGTAGATTCTAAAAAACATAATGGGTACCCTGGACTCAAACGACAGGTCATGAGTGTCCCTTGTCAGTCACTTCCAATAATGATGGGAAGAAGACAAATAATAAAATTTTATCGTCATGTCTAACTTTCCCGCATGAATTCATAAAATACGTCAATCCAAAATGGTGTCTTGAGCACTTGTTTATTCAAACAAGAGCTATGGTTTCCTTGGACGAGGAGGTGGTTGTGGTGGTGGTGGATCACTCGATAAGACCCTACCTACGAGTTTGATATCATCAGAATTCGTAGAAATGGGAAGGCAGAAAACACGGGTCTGCCACCACAACCACATACATGTGAGCATGCATCTAAATTTTTAATAACGAACGGCGTCAGGCCTACATCATTTGTCTTCCGGCTTACAAAACCATGGCTCATTTAGTAAAGACAATACACAATCGTGCCTGCTTTGCCTTTGGTAACCTCAAAAATATGTATGCTTGTGGGCACGCTGGCATTGTTTGAGACGTTTTCCACGTATCTCTTCATCTAATTATATAACATAACATTGGTTGACTGACTCGCTGGTGTACGATATGTACATATTACATTAATATAAACCTAATGGCACTGCTCTTGGGTTTCACTCAACAAACGAGAAATGTTATCAATAACAAGGGTTACAAGCGTCGTGGCGGTGCTGGTTGCATGGGTGCAGTATCAGTGTTCATGATCAACAATAAAACTGTAAACATAGGTTGGAGGTAGTTTGATTAATTCACGGGCCTCTTTGGTACCCAGTTTGATGCTCCATAAAGAAAGACTGACGAGAATGAATTCTGGCCAGCGATCAAAAAGAGAGCAGAAAAAGGTCCTTCAAGCGGCATTTCGACGGATTTTGAGCTTCCTGGAACGAAGAAACCCATGCCAATTCCTTTATAAAATCCTACCAGGATTCTTTTTTTAGCCGAGCAAAGGTGGAGGCAGGAATTACAAGGCCATTATATTAATATTATTACCCAAATTGACAGCTCACGGCTAGTGTGGAAACCCGCAGCTACAAATTGACCATCTATTACGTACAGGATGCTGGTATCACACTTGCTTTAGGTAATTTCAATTTCAAGCTCAGGTGGATCGTCGTCAGCAGTGGAGGAGGTAGCTGAGCTCCACCCATCCAGCCACAACAACTCATTTCCTACAGACCAATAAAACCAAAAAGAACCACTTTCACGATGTCGTGAATGGCCATTCGGACAATAAACGTAGTCCTTCTTCCAAATTCTCAAACCAGGACGCCAGGTAAACTATAGGAAGAGAGGTTCCAATAAGTATCGAGTAATTGTGGGCACAACCACCCTGCCATTCTAGTTTTTTTTCAAAGAGAATGACAAATGCCTTGCTATGTCGCAGGACGCATATTACACATATAAAAACGTGCAGCAGATCAACTACTACGTTAATAATATCTAACAACACCGCAGCAGAGAGACAAATGCATTGTGAACTTGGACAGGAAAGAGACGTTATAAAATGAGGCAACCAAATAATCTACTTGCATACTTGCATCTACCATTGTCGAATTCTTTGAAAAAAATTTGAACGTATGTCAACACGGGTACAATAGCGTACTACAGGGATACACGTATGGTGAGGAATGATGTGGAAGAGTAAAGATTATTCCTGAAATTGGATGAATAAGGTCAACTTATTTAAAGGGAATAAATGCCACGACTGTACACATTCTTCATTATTCAGAGGTTCACTCACAGTATTTTGGAAAAGTCCTAAGACGTCTGAATCCATTTACACCAAGCGCCCCACTATCAAGTCCTAGCCTACGTCAGTCTCTGGCCACTCAGCATTATGATCAAACAGGATCATTATTTGCCGACAACCTACGCACATTTGAATTTGTCTCCCCATTTGTACATTTGTAAAATATGCATGTATGTGGTCATTACATTTTAGCAAGTTTAAACATTTTGTTTCTTAAGCTAATAAATGGCAGCTACCTTCGCTGATCGTGATTGACCACAACACAAGCTACGTCCTTCCTTTGCGCATAATAGTCAATTCATGCAGAATAAGTGCAATACCAAAGTGAGAATAATAAACGGTTTGCTGCTGCTGCTCCACGCACAATCACCACAAATAAGGGAAAAATTTCAATAACATTTGTTTTTCTTTTATAAATGATTAGATAGGTGAAGTTGGAAACAAAAAGAAAACGTATGATTTATGATTCCGCATTTCGTCATTCTCTCGTCAAAATTATTAAACATACACAAGTACAAGGTTAACACACTGTAGAAGGAGCATTTTTACAACATTGAGTCTCCCATTTTCTTTTGTGCTTTACTGCTCACTTCTATTTGAGCATTTTCGTAAAGAATTGAATAGATGGATAGAATTAGTGTTTCCACTCAAACCAAACACCCCCTCGCCGTTCGTTCTCGATAAAAATATAGGTAACAATTGAACAAGAAGTTAATGAATTTGACGAGAGAACGATGTGCGTTGAAAAGTGGGGAGACAACTAATAAAGGATTTCATCCTTCCTCAATCTAACCTGTATCTCAATAAGTAATCAATCAAGGTCATTAATTAAATTCAATACTAATTACGATAGCCAGAGAGGGAGATAGAACAAACAGGTCAGGCAAAGTTATGGGCTTGCTTCGCCGTTGGGAGGGAATTGAATTTGTGCCATTTCAGCAAATATTCAATAAATTAAAAAATCTATGATACTTAAATTCTTATTCTAAAATCTTGCGTAACAGAATTCAGATCGATTGATGATGATAGATTATGCAGATAAATAATTTGCATTCTATTTTGGAACTTTTATGTCCTATCGCAAAAAATGTTTTACATCAAGAAAGTATTACACATTAATATGAGGATGCCATGCCGTGCTGTGTTTCTAACTTTTTAACTATTAGATAGTCCAATCCAACACTCGTCGAATACAAAAAAAACTTTTAAAAGTACTTGTGTACAATAACCTATTGCTTAAATGGTGGTGGTGCCAAACTCTGCTTCTTCTTTGCACCAGACTTATAATTTTGTAATGGTGTTGTCTCACCAAGTAGCAATAATAAGTACAATGAAATGCTTAATCACGAACAAAAGTTGGGCAACAAACTCACCAATTATTTCATAAATATAGAATTTTGTCACAACAGCAACGATTTTGAGGATAAGTGAGGGTACGCTGTTGAGCATAAAGTTATCGAGTTATTGAGTGATGGTAAGAACTTACCCTCGGCATACTCTAGAGGAACCAGGGCTCCTAGGATGAAGACCAGGACGAGGATAAAGCTCCCGGATTGAGAGGCAGAAGGACACATCTTGTCTTCCGCCCTCAGCCAGGTCTCCTCTTCAGAGGCTACTTTCCACTGGTCAATACAGGGTCACTCGGCCCGTGTAGGGCGTGGCTGCCGACCAAAAGAACGATTCCGTGTTAAGGTGATTCTTCTTTTGCGTCTTCCTGTAATCAAAATAATTAAAACCATGAGTTTAGTTAGAATATGATGATGCGTTTGACTGGTCAGGCCTTAAATTTACCAGGGATATATATAACCAGCTCGAACGAAGGCTAGCTAGTCACTACGAATTGAGTGGAGCAGTCCAACATTACGGTAATAATAGCGCCTTTAAAAGACAAATATTCGAAAAAATAGCAAAACTATCATTATTCCAAGCTATAATTCGAATATGATAACTTGGAAAAGAAATTACCCCAAAAAAGTACTATAAACCACTAAAATATTCCAGCCCGGCCGATTATTAGCGAAAACGCAAACTTTTTTAAACTAAAAAAAACTTTACGACATCATGAAATCCACATCATAAACACTATCATTTAGCTAATCATATATGTTTGTATGACCATTATGTTATGTTTACATTTATCACATTTAAACGAGAAATTTATTAGTCGTTAGCCTCCCCATTAATTGTGCATGCCTGCAACATTTCCCTCTCAAATTCAATCCCAATTCGCGACTATGTGTTTAGGAAAAGAGATAGAAAAAGAGAGATGTAATAAAGCTAATAATTTGCATTTATTTAGTCCACTTCTTCCACACAAAAGTTTCCCTGTAAGAGGAGGAGTGGACATATGAGAAATAAATAGGTCTTTACTATCATGTTACGATATATGTTGCAAGTTGTTGTAATGATGCAGGTTTTGATTTTTATTTTATAGTAGTGAGTGATAGAGAATTGTGAATTTTGAGGCAAAATTGTATTGAGGAAGATCCCTTTCACGACGACGACGACGACGACGACGAGCAGCATCAACATTTCTGCTGCTGTCAAGCTCATCTTCTTCTTCCTTTTAGCTCTTAAGCACGACTACATCATTGTATCCTCCTCGTTCCATTTCCTCTTTCCATTCACTATATCATTATTTGATGGGGTGCACAACATTGACAACATTGCTGCTGTACGTAGCTCGTTTTTGGTGTGAACGAGGTATACGTACACTTCTTGTCATTGTCTAATTTGTGTCTATTTTGTATTTCGAAATATGTGTATGCGGAAGTTGGGATGGGATGCTCCCTCTCTCTGCTATATAATCGTGAGCCATGCTACTTACGTACGAGCAAGTATGTTATCATCCAAGTGTTGAATAACATTATGAGGAACAAATGAGAAATGTTTGATGTTTGGGAGAGATGATTTTTCATTTGTAATTTTAAATTCAAAGATGTGCCATCAATTACGAGGAAAGAAAATGTTGTTTTCCTTTACACAAAGAAGACACTACTATGTAACTAACACGTATTTATTATAAAGTGTGAACCAGCCAGCCGTGTGGGTATAAGAAATAATAAGAATTCACAAAAAGTGTGAAATGTTTGATATGACAGATACAATCACAGCTTTGCTTGTCACGAAAAATAAATGACGGAAGCTCATAACTTATTTTAATCATGGTTGATAAGTTGCAAACCTTACTGACTGTCACCCATTGTCCACTAACTAACTGCAACCACTCTTTATGCCAATTGTGAGGCGGTGAATACTAATTTCGAGGTGTGATACCTGAATTTATTACGGTGTAGTACACATGTACATACGTAGTTGTTCCCATACGGATTAATTTGTGTGGAAGAGAGACAAATCTTTCATGTTTTTGCTAATCCCGTTGATTATTCCCCTACAAAGCTTATCATGTTTAACTGTTAGTTGGTCAGTCAGTGGCAGAGCAGAAATAACAGCAATAACTGGCAAGGATTATGCAGTCACATTATTGTCCCCCACTCGAATATGCATTCGATGATTGGGGGATAATAATGTGAATTTAGTTGGTGTGACCGCAGAAATGGTTTTATTGAAAATAATTGGGTTTGGACGACACAATACAGTTTACGTAGTAGAAGTGGTGGCTAAAGGGAGAAAAACTGTGTATTAAATTCTATGTTAGGAATGTGTTTCGTGTCGTCGTCGTCGTGTCCACCAACAACTTTGTAACAATGTAATGAATTCACGGAGACCATCAACAACGAGGGAGGAGGACACAACCTCATGATATCATTGAAGAACTTGGTCAGCAGCCTATAGGATTAAAATTTAAATTGCATCCACCACTACCAACGACGACGACGACCAAGAAGAAACAACTCATGAATACAAGAGCTCCACCAAAAATGCGTTCGTACTTCATTTGTCAATTGGTTGGCTTGGTGGAGTTGTTGGCTTTTTGAATAGCAGAACGTGAATAGAGAGTAATGGGTGCGTGGGAAGGTTTCCTATAAAGAATTCAACTATTCAAGAATGCAGCAATTATTTAACAAATGGTTGACTGAGCGAGTCTTCATTTTGCGATTCCATCCTTCATCAGCAGCCATGATAAATTCTGGCTAAGCTGTAGTAATGAGGATTGAGGATTCATCCCCTTCATCATACGAAGCCAGTCTCTCTCTCTCTCTCTCTCTCGCAAAATCCAGAATATTATCTATTCTACAACAAAGGCAAATATGGTAGTGGTGAACATAAAGCAGCCGCATATGATGATGGTATTATTACTTGAGAGGAGAGACGAGGTAAGCAGCTCACAACACCAACCTGCAGACCCATTACCATCACGATTACACTTGCAAATTCAGAATTCAAACCAAACGCAAACAAGGACCAAGAATGAAAACACGGATCAAACACGCGGACGAGAGAACAAAGCATTTGCCACGCAAACGATGTCAATTCCTATTCAGAATTCAGATTCCCTCAATGCAGTAATTGTCATCATCTCTCACACAATTGTAATGATCTGCATGTTTCTACACTAATGCGTCCCTATTTAATAATGGCACCCTCCCCTCGTCCTCCGCCTCCTCCAGGTTTTCACTCCGACACAAGTGAACTTTCACACAGGTAGTGCCAGAATCAATCAGGAGTCATGGTGGCTTGGTTTTAAGTCAATGATGATGTCACTCGGAAATCCATAGTTTGCATATAACACATTCACAATCAGAACAGCGGCAGCCTTTGACATCCATCTGCCTACCTAACTACATGTGATGCGATTGATTCCACCAGTTGGCTGCCAGAGAGGTTTGATCATTATGCATTAAAAATCGGGTAGGCATTTTCCATGAATGTTTCTAATGCAATGGCAGACATACGCGAAGCCTAAACAAACAAAGTAAGTAAATAGCAAATAGAATCCTTGACAGAAACGGTTCAAATGGTGGCACTTTAATACTTTATCTAAAAACGAATCAAATTGCAAATTTTCTTCATCCTTTTCGCATAACCTTGTGTTCTATGCCACTTGTTCCCCCGATGGAATATTGTATCTGTGCAGTAAGCAGGGGATCAAGTGTTGTTTGCTCTCTGTTTGTCGATCGTTGGGATTATTGGATTTACTTAGGAGAACTGAGGCTGATGGATATTTTAGCTAAACGAAATTTTTCCCATGTTTACAAGATGCTCAAATTATTCGCATGCTAAATCTTTGGTGATTTGGTAATTTCAAACTGATTTTCGTTTCTCTTGATTTTATGCACTTGAAAAAAAATTAAACAACAGCATGCCCAAAACCTACAGACACACTACATTTGCAAATATTTTATTATCCCCCTACTTGTACCTTTTCTACGTATTTATGGCTACTTAAATTTGGCGTGAATTCGTTCCATGCTTAACACCAACTATGTGCATACATAGAAGGAATATGTATATGCATACCAGTCGTCATACACACACGTGACGTCGTCGCTCATCCTACAAGTTGGCTAAATAGCAGCTCTAGTCTCCAAGATGATAACTCTACCTTATGCAAAACATGTCACCCTAATGAGCCATCATTAATCATTTTCTTGTGTGATTCTCAAGTCTCTAAATTATTCAGTTCTATCTCCTACATACTCTACTCCAATTTTAGTCCGTCTGCTGCTGGAGTATAATAACCAAACCAAACCAAACTTAGCCAAGCCAGAACCAATATTTGGAGGACTTGAATCAACGAGAAGCCAACAATACTCGTCCCACCCGCAGTAGTCATCTCTCTCTTTCTTTCTGAAATAAAGGATTGTCAGCTGGATTTGCTTAAACTTTTTCCTCCTGAACCTGAGACGACCCATGGCACCAAGCAGGAATTCTGTATGTATATACGTAACATGAGGTTTCTGGCCTCTTAAGTAAAATTGCAGAGCCATTCACTCGCCTCTCCACTCCATTGTGCTCCGAGTTACTCATATTTATCATTTCTTTGTGTGCAAAAAGGAATCTTTCAGCCTAAACGTGAATGCATCCCATCATCCAGCCCAGCCAACAATCCATCCACGTAAAGGTAGCATCGGGAGCAGCAGAATGAATAAAATGAAAGTGCAGAGAGTAAACTCCACGACAGTTTCCACTCTCAACCGTGTTCAGCCAGATTTACGATTTACACAAATACAAACTACATCACAATGGGTGCCACAATGCAATCCCATCCACACAGTCACATTCTTTTGTTACGCAAGGAAGAAGAAGGTAACAAGCCAAGGAATGGTTTCACGAAACCAACCAACGACTAGTATCAAATTATTCACCCCGACCAACTAACTGTATTCAAGGACAATCATTCACTTCTTTGCCCATTGTTGTGTTCACGTAACAATTTATGTGCATGTCCTCTCTCTCTCTCACTCTGTCGAGATTTTCACAAAATTTGCGCAATTCATTCACTAACCAAACCACACATGGAAAACAATCAATTGGATACAATGGCAAATAAAAGGTCTCGGTAAAAAACACGCTCACTTTTCGAAATGCAAACACATTTTCATCCATTAAACTGTAAAACGGCCCATGTTCATACATCCAACCACGACCACGACCACGACTAGCACTTTACATAATAGAGAAGTATCAGACAAAAGGGTAACCCCATCAAACTGCATTTTCACATCCGTCCCCAAATAATTTTATGTTATGTTTAATGTTTTGTGCACTTTACTGAACCACAGCAAGCAGTTAGTAATTGTAGTAGTAGTG